AAATATTGTCTGCAACAGGCAAAATTCTGATACAACGATGACCAAAAATCCAACGAAAATCGTGAATAATGGGGTTTTCCCGCAGTCGCAGTACTGTATGTTCTGCCAACGTGCTGCAATCATCCACCCTAATATCTGCTTGGAGAGCTGTTCTGAAGTGGTGTCTTGCCTAATTGGAAGTTTACCAGAGCTTACTTTGCCCCATACTAAGTTTATTCCGGTGTCGTCAAGTTTTACGACCGTTGCCATGGCAACTATAAAGTTTGATATACGTGGTCAAGACCTCTGGATTTGTTCCCATCGCTGTTCTTGAAGTGTGACAAGGACAAGAAACTGCTTCAGTCTTCTTCCAAGACAAGTGTGGGAAAAGTTCAAGTAGTTTTTGTCAGGACCACTCATTTGTACTGAAAACATTCATTTCTTAAACCAAAACAACTTACATGATTACCTTGAGTTATGTTACTTCAAGGTAGGTAGGTACATGTACATGTAGGTAGGTACTTGTAGGTTAAACTTACATGTCTTTGACTATATGTTCTGACTGATAAACACCCTATTCGGCTGTATATAGATGAAAATATTAGATTTGGTCTTTGCTGCAAGTTAAGATTCACTGTGAACTAATAACATCTCTGTCCGTAATATCACCAGGGTCCACAATATCACCACCTTGAGAAATAGTGTGCTTAAAGATATTTTTACTGTAACATACTTTTGGTATGCACTCCTTCACACATCAAATGTACATTCCTAGGGTATGTTGCAGTAAAAATATCTTTAAGCACACTTTTTCTCAAGGTGGCGATATTATGGACCCTGGTGATATTATGGACACAGATGTTACATGTTAGGTAACTTACATGGGGGCAAGCATGGCCTTTTCCGTAGAGCGTAATCGGCCGTTATAATTCTACGTAGAGCGTAGACGGACCGCTCTAATGCAACGTAGAACGTATTCGCCGTTTGAATTCTACGTAATGCGTTGTATCCACTGTCTTGGAATTTATCGCATAGTGTAATCGAGAGGTTTTCTGAATTCGACATAATACGTAGCCAGCGCTCACAATTTAGCGTAGAGCGTTGTCAGGACCCCCCATGCAGGCCCCCTTACATGTTACTTCAGTTCAACGTAGGTACATGTAGGTAGGTAGAGAAATGACATGTACATTTTCTGACTGGTAAATACCCTATTCAGCTGTAGATGAAAATATTAGATTTGGTCCTTGCTGCAATGTAGAACATACGAATAACAATGAATGAATGAAAGACCTTTATTGTACATCTGTGCTCTAACAAGCCAAGTACAGGTCATGAATAGATAAGGAAAAGGATACAGCAATGACACTTAAACTATACATACTAATGTGATCTACTATTTACATTGTTCGACTTCTTCTCGCTTCTTGACGCAGTTATAGATGTACGTCCATATAGAACTAATGATACATGGTTTGTCAAGTTTCATAAGAAATATAAATTTTTCTGATTCATTTAATGGCCAAAGCTGGGGAACTTACATTTTGTATCTATTATATAAGAATATAGGAAATCTCTCTCATTACTATATAACGTGCAATCAACTTCGAAATGATACTCATCCTCAATCTTATCTAAATCGCAAAATTGGCAAATAACAGACACGTGGCAATTGATTTAAAATAGGTTGGTTTTCCTTCTACATTAGTAGCAGTCTTCAGCAGCTCAAAGTTCAGTGGAGATGTATACACTGTAAATGTCTGGAGGCAGTTGTGGTACCCAGGGGAAGCTCTGGTATACCACTCTAGTATTACTGTTGTTACGCTGTGGTCAGAGTATTTCCTGCCCCATGGCCACAGTCTAGGATATGGTACACCACACATTATGACTACTGCTGAAGGATAACTTCCGCAAATTCAATGAGAACCTATCCAGGTTAAACGTGTACAAAATTAAGCCTCTTCAACTGTGACTTAACATCTGTGTCCATAATGTGTCTTGGGCAAAGAACGGAAGTACAAGTAAGTTAAGCAAAATCTATTCTAAACATTGTGGAAAAGATTTCTAGAAGATATACTTTTAGTAGCCTGCTCATCAGTCAGTGAAAACTACATGTACAACTACAATGAAATTTCACCTTGAGACAGTAGCTACAGAGGCTTAGATTGTTCCAAGAGGGCCTGCAAGGGGGGGTCCTGACAACACTCTACGCTGAATTTGGAAACCTCTCAATTACGCTTTACGATAAATTCCAAGTGGCTACAACGCATTACGTAGAATTAAAATGGCGAATACGCTCTACGCAAAATGCGCCAATTACGCTCTATAGAATTAGAGCGGTCCGTCTACGCTCTACGTAGAATTAAAACGACTGATTACGCTCTACGGAAAAGGGCTTGCGGGCCCCCTTCTAAGTTTGTAAGATTGGCTACTGCACATTGTCTGGTATCTCCTACTGTCCCCCTCCCTCCTGAGGGGTTAACCTTGACCGGTGCCACATGTGCAGGGCAGTGTTCCAGGTCCAAGTGGCCCTGAATGCCCCTAGCAGGAGATATTAAAACTTCCAGCAGCCAAGATAATCAAAGTCACATAGCTGCCAGGAAAGACACTGGATTTGAACATTCCCATATGGCATGAATGGAGAGAACTACATTGTACATGTACATTTATAATGACTGAACAGAAATATTTAGCGACAGATAATATTGTGTAATACTACAATCATGTATACATGTATATTGTGTTATGACTTAAATTCATAATCAATGTCATGTATAGAGATCCAGTTTTGGCCAAATCTCATAGATTATGAGGACTAACATGTACAAATTAGGTCTGTAGATATTACAAATGTAGATGAAAGTCTCTTTTACCTAAGTTTTAGAATTGTGTCTTTCAGTCTACATCAAAGTTTTAATTTTGTAAATTCCATTAAATCTGTAACAGTTGATTTATAAACTGTCATTTTCAAAGGCCTTGGTTGATAAACCATATCATAGCAGCTACAGATATAGTAAAAAAATCAATATTGGATATTACATACTATATTACTGTAAGTTGCAAGATACAGTTAAAATCATGGAAAAACCTCCTCTTATTGCTTGCTGATTTCCAAAGGTGAAAAGATTGGCCTGCATTATGACTTATGGGTTGCCGAAAGTCATGCAATATCCCTAGTATAGATTCCTCGCATACAGGAGAGTGTTCTTTATTTCACACTGTCTATCCTGCCCAGGGGCGACTTCTGCGATTCTTTATTGCTGATAACAAATTGTAGGGCAGTGATTGACGACCCGGTGACATTGAGATCATCGGACCAGATTCAGTTTGGACTGTGATCCCTTGGAGCAAAGGGAACAGTACAGAACCAAGCTGCAAGATTCTGCACGGACAACTATGAAAGGGGTGCTGGTGTAACGGAAATGAAAAGAAACCTACAGTGGGGTTCGCTGGAAGACAGACGAAGAATGTCCAGACTGTGCATGATGTACAAAATGACTAATAAAGTGGCGGACGTACCAACTACTAAGTATCTGATACCATCCCAGAAAAGAATAAGAAACAGTCATGCCTTCAAATATCAGAGTTATCAACCAAGAATCTACTAGTAGGTGTTCAAAAACTTGTATTTCCCAAGAACTATTGTAGACTGGAACTCGTTGACCCCAAGCACAGTTGGGGCATTATCACTAGAAAGCTTTAAACAACACCTGCAATTAAATGTGCAAAGATTGAGTGTAACAAGTCATTTGGTGTGATATAGCTAGCTGCTGCCGCGCCACGTGCCTGCGAAGCTGGTGTGTTACGCCGAAGGGTTATACCGGCTATACTGATACAGATACAGAACCTACACTTGTGCAAGAGAATACACTGAGTAACCATGTTTAGAATAAAAATGTCGCCAGATTGTAAGATAGTCTCCCTAAACTTTAATCTGCATCCAGATCTTTCCCAAAAGTCATTTTAATCCTTAGGCTAAGCCAGGCTTATCCACAAATCTTAGACTAGAGGAAATACATTACATTTTTGGTTTACCCAATTACATGTGTAATCAACCATCAAAACAACAAACCAGCCAACTCATTGACAAGTAAATTAGCTAAGAAGAAGTGAATAAAAATATCCTTGATGAGTTTAAAGGTATTGCATCCTCTCTTCTTCAGACAACTTGGTTACTGTACCATGTTTCACAAAATACGGCCACTTGAGATAGTAGGACTGTGGGTTTTGCCAGAAATATGGTGTTGAAGGTTTGTTTAACCTTTGAATGAGCTTGCAAACGTTGGAGCTTCGGATCCCAAATGTCGTCACCTGTAAGGGAAAATTCTTCTGATCTTGTTCCATCAATGTATAACTCACTTATAACCGCAGGGAACTAAAAGTTGGATCCTGCAACCTTGGCTGCCACTTTGAACTTTGAGAGGGATAACTACTAATACACTAAGTCAACCAATATTTCAAAACTCTTATCCAACCACAGGGGTTCGACTAAGCTCTAAACCCCAGCAGCCATTTTCAACCAAGGGCAAATTGTTAACGTTCCAAGAAATCAATTGGCATTTTTTTCCATGATGTGGGGGATCTTGAATCTAACTTCTCCTGAAATTGATTTAAAGAATTTCGTACAAGCTCCTTGACTCCCTATGAGGCAGATTAAAAAGCTTGTATGGTCGACTGTGGAGGGCAAGGTTGAGGCTGTTTTGGATCGGACTCTGACAGCTGTATCTAATATGGTTATCAAGTCCCCTAAAACAGGCTAGCCCGAGGCAGGTAGACATTTTTGACCTCTCCTAATATATTCACGTGTTAGTTGGACAGAGCTGTTTTCCTAGAAAGGGATCCTGTCCCAGCGAGTCGCTTAGTTTAGGTCAGGTGGTGCATGGGGTTGTCTGAGGTTGAACAGATCATTGTTTTTCAAGCTGGAAAACCCCGGGAGAAGCTCGGGGATTGGTTCGTTAGGGTGACAGAGGGTCAGGCGTGGCTGCCGTCTCAAATTTAAAAGTTAACGGGATTTGTGTTTGCAGGTGATGGTCGCCCAGTCCCGCAGCAGCGGGAGTACTAACGACATTAGCATCGACGCCGAGTCACTCACCAGACTATTCCTCGTCATCCCAAAGTCTCTGGAAGAGGAGGATCTTAAAAGACATCTTCAAGGAATGGGGTCCGATTGAGTACGTCAACGTGGTACGCGACAGAGGATCGGGCGACCCAAAAGGCTTCGGATATGTCAAGTACTACAAGGCTTCTCATGCAGCACTAGCGTTGGAAAACTGTGACAAATGTAAGTATATCTCCTTATATGAGGGCATGCATGGGGGGTAGTGAGTACGAATTACGCAACATTTTCGCCACCGATTACGAATTATGTTCAATTTTCTGAGCCGGTTACAAACAAGCAGTACTACACGTTACAGCTAATGCACTGATTACGATGATTTTAAGCGGCTGCCTGCAGATTACAAAGATTAGAAAGGCCTGATTACGCCTTACGAAAAAGGGCATGCAGGCCCTCGCTTATGAACATATGTCATCAAGTTTGTATATACTATATATGATTTATCTACAGCTGTCTTTGCTGGCAGTAGAGCTTGACTTGCGTAGAGTCCTCTGCAAATATGAAAGCATTCTGAGCAGTGTTGAGGCTGAACTCTGTTGTGCCACGTCTCTGCACATGCTGCCCTGGAGCATTCTTCCTGTCAGTGTCCAGCATTCAAGCTTTCAAACATCAAAAGGGCTTGGGGCTCCCCGATCCGCTCTGTATATTTTGCCAGGCATTCTTGCACATGGCCCATGGTCAGGCTGAATGTTTGCAGTAGCCAGAGACTGACCCGACTGAACAAATCAAAGAGTAACTGTAATCCTTGTCCTGGTGTAGCAGGCTGGGATGTACCCCTGGTCGGAATGTACACCCGGGTATATTCTGACCAAGGGTATATTCTGACCTGCTACACTGCTATGAGAAACAAGTATTAAGTACACCAAAATGGCTCTTTTGCACAACTTTATGACTGAAAATTTCCTAAAACTCTCCAAGGAAAGAGTTTTGCTGACAGATATGTGGAAATTACAGCAAATTGTGTGATTCCTTGAATTAGAAATGACAAAAACAAAATAGACAAGTTGAATAAGTTGCTTCCTTTTTGTACACCCGGGTATATTCTGACCAGGGGTATATTATGACCTGCTACACTGTCATGGGAACTGTAAGTATTGTAAGTATGACAAAATATCTCTTTTGCACAACTTTAGGACTAGAAGTTTCCTCAAATTTTCCAAGGAAAGAGAACTTTGCTGTCAGATGTGTGGCACAATGACAGAAAATTGTTTGATTCCTTTGAATTAGAGACAACACTCACTCACTCATAGAGACTATAGAAAACAAAGTAGACAAGTTGAACATGTTGTTTCCTTTTTGTGTGAAAATAAACAAAAGCACATACATGTAGCAAAGTCACCTTTGGTGAGGATACCATTTTCCGGGACATTCAACCACACAGACCCTTTTATGTGAAGTTCCAAACATGTTTTTCCAGTGGAGTCAAGTTTTACTACCTTTTTATGGACCTGACCTGGTACCCTCTCCCCTAATGTACATCACATGGTGGATGCACACATTAAGGGGGGCCCGCAAGCCCTTTTCCGTAGAGCGTAATTGGCCTTTTTAATTCTACGTAGAGCGTAGACGGACTGCTCTTAAATTTTGCGTAGAGCGTATTCGCCATTTTAATTCTACGTAATGCGTTGTAGCCACTTGGAATTTATCGTAAAGCGTAATCAAGAGGTTTCCGAATTCAGCATAGAGCGTTGTCGGGACCCCCCCTTGCAGGCCCTCATTAGGCAGTTTGTGTCAAAAGACCATAACAGTTACAGTAACTGTATTTCCAAATCACTAGTTTTCAAAGTACTCACAATGAACGTGAACTTGGCTGTTTTTCTATAATGTGTTTTAAAAACAAAGAAGATGTTTTGCATCACGTATCAACAGTACTGTCAGACACCAGAAAGGTAAAACAGAGTTCTGGAAAAATCTTCGCTTCAAGTGGTGTGTTTAAAAACTGAGCTTTAAAAGTAATTGATATTTGAAAACACAAAATCATGCCATGACCAACTTGACTGACTGCAGTGTTTTTCAATAACAGGACTACAAAATGCACACAAGTTTTGGGTTAATTTGGGTAACTTTCAGTAGAGATTCTTTGTACATGTACAAAATGTATTTTGCCAGTAATACCGGTAAAGAGAGGTTGAACCCAACTGGATTGGTAGGAATGAACTTTGAGGAATAAAGTACTGTAGTACAGATTTTTGTCCTTGACTCACTTGTACATTTTTACCTCCATGAAAAACGGAGGTATTGTTTTTGGTGCATCTGTGTGTCTGTCTGTGTGTCTGTCTGTGTGTCTGTCTGTCTGTCTGTGTATTTGTGTTTCCGCACATCAGGACGTGTTAAAATGAAGGACGGCAAAGGAGAGGAATTTTACACGAAAAATATTGTCATTTGAATTTAGAAAACCATAAATAAAAGTAGATTATGCTAATTATGACCTAATTTCCATAGTCAATGAGACAACTAAAAAAACGTTTACAAAAACTCATGTATTTCATGGAGGTATGAGATCTACGAATTCTTGTTGTAGATGGTTAGAAATAAGAAGACTCATTGCAACAACATTTTGCCATGAATCTGGATTTACAGTGTGTTTGGTGTAGAGTTCTCTCTACAAATGCTTGCACCTGCAACTATACCCAATGCCAGAAAATACTAGCATACCATAGCAGACACCTTTGGGACCTTACTGCACTGTGCTGCATGGCCTCGTGGAGTGTCTGTCAACCATTCTTTTGATACGAACCATCAATGAACAGCTCTCTTGAGACATTTTGTCACTTCGCTGGAAACTGGTCAAAAACCTGTTATATTTTGTGCTGCAACCATGGTTACTTAGACAAGGAATTATTACTCAAGCAACTGGATGGATTTTGAAAGTGTTCCCAGTTGCTTGAGTAATAGTTCCTGGTGTATCTCATTACCTGGATGTCTAACCTTCACTGACGTAGCATGTTTTCTTAAAAATGAAGGGGTACAGCATGGCGTTGTAATTGTTAAACATCAGAGTCTATGGATGATAAGAACTATGCTAGGGTGATGCTTTCATTCCATAGCTAGGCCTAGGAAAACAAAATTTAATGTTGTGTTTCCTATTTCCCGACCAACCCTAGAAAAAACTGCCGACCCTAGCCTCTTTCTGTGTGGACCCCTGCAAGGGACAGAAATTTTTAAATTTCGGGCTGATCGACCTTTTCTTGCTCAATGATCTGACGCCTGAGTGATGAAACATCGTACAATCGAGTTTCCAACATTTGAGATTGTAAATGAAAGTGTCCTCATGCAAATTTTACTTTGTTAAACTGCATTGTATAAGTTGGATCAAAAAAAAAAGAAAAAGAAACCTACCAACCTTAATTTTTTTAGGACTGAAACAGGAAACACAGCATTTTTTCCTAGGGCCTATACTATAGCCCTATCAAGTGCCTTAGTTTGCTATCATGATGTTTTATATCAGATTTGATTCTTGTGAGGATGTTGTGATACAACTCAGTTGTTCAACATGTGTTGCAGACATACATGTATAACTGGAGTAACTTTTATTCAATTAGTAAAAGGTTCAAGATACAAAGAAAAGTACTTCTAAAAAGAGCAATAAAATTTGCTTTTTCTTCTTGTCAACTAACATTTACGTCTTACTCTGTGCAGTACTCCTTTGTAGGTGGTTTCTATTTTAGAGAACACTTGATGAAACTGCTGTTGAAATGGCATCTTGTGGGTTAAACCGGAACAGGTGCTCCTGTCACTGTGATATCTTAAGGCATTTAGAGATATCTTAAAGGCATTTAGAGACAGTAAAGTCTGTCCCAGATGACAGAGACATAAATCTGTGTGATGGTATTAAGGAGGAGCAGGCACAGCTCTAGGCTGATTCTTATTAGTGTGGAATTCAAGACACACGTCGCTCAAGTTGTGCCTCAACTTGCCGTAAGTAGTAATGCTGTGAGGAAAAGTAGTGATTCTGAAACTTGAAGGAAAATCCTTTTAGCTACATGTACTTTCAGGGGGCCCGCATGCCCTTTTCCGTAGAGCGTAATCAGCCATTTTAATTCTACGTAGAGCGTAGACGAACCGCTCTAATTCAACATAGAGCGCACATTTTGTGTAGAACGTAATTAGCCGTTTTAATTCTAGGTAATGCATTGTAGCTACCCGGCATTTATCGTTGAATTCAAAATTTAGGTTAGAATCCAGTTTATTAATTTTGTAAAAAAAAAAAGGTTGACTAAACTAGTTGGAAATACGTTTTACATGAAACAGGTCTATTTTACATGAACAATGATGTTCTTGCTCCATTAAACATTTTGTCATGGAAGGCATTTTTTATTCCTTTAACTTTCGTCACACAAAAATAGCTATTTGCTTACCAATTATGTATAGTTGTGACAGGGTTAGGCAGCAGGGAAATGTGTGATACAGGATCGTTTTGAAGCATGGAGTTCTTTGATAAACTTTCTGCAAAGAGTTTGCCAAAAAGATAGAGTGCATATGTACATGTGTTTGTGCACCATGTACCTTTTACATGATTTTGCATGATATTGTCAGTGAAATCTTTACCACTATCATTTAGCCCTGAACTATGGTCATTATCGGTGCAAAGGTCAGACAAAAGGTCACAATAATGACCCAGACACTACATTTTTGACTGATAAGGACTTAGTCCAGTGACATATTCAGGTCTTTGGTTAAATCCACATCATGTCTGGGGATGGTTAGCCTCTTGTAGTTGTCATTAGGTAAACATTTTCTGAATCACTGTAGGTTACTAGGGATTAGTGGTAACTTTTGCCATTTTTGATTATGATTATTTCGAAATGATTTTATATCTTCTAAAGGTTGCTAATGTTATCTAGTTCCTGATGAGTTGGATATGATTATAATGTGCTGATGAGTTGATTATTATCATCCAAATCATTTGATACACTCTTAAAGGTGTCCAGAATCATCTAGTTTGCTGATGAGTTGAACAAATATGAAAAATACCTGAAATATCGCAGAGCAGCCTAAGTTTGCTTTAAATTAGTGTTGCTCATTGACCAATTTATGTAGTAGGTAAGTTACTAGTTTATCCAAACAAAAGCTGACAAATTAGAAAGCCGAACAAACAAACAAACATTTACACCTAGAAAAATGTCCCATTACTACTGACATTTTCCACTGTAAGAGACCAGGTGTATATGTATCATTCTGTGAGTTTGCATGCCCGTAGCCAGGGGGGTTCGGGGGGTTCGGAAGAACCCCCCACGTCCACAAGGCTCAAAGGTCCACTTTTTGGTCCACTTTTTATCTACAGGTCCACGCTTTTCTTTAGATGGACTGATTCGTATCACCAGTGGGGCTGGAATCGTATGAAAACTGCCTACTTTGTCATTTAATAGAAAGTTATCTCTGATTTTTTTTTCTTTGAAATCCTCTCAAAAACACAGGAAATGCCATTTCAGAAGGTTCATTTTTCAAAATTTTCTAGGGGAGCATGCCCCTGCCCCCCCCCCCTAAGAACCTCTGGCCTTCAACGCTCGCTGGTCCCTCAAGCACTGGGAAGAACCCCCCATTCAAAATCCTGGCTATGGGCATGGTTTGTAAAGCTAATGTTTTGACACATTTAATCCTGAGTTTCTGTAGATCTGCCTTAAGGCTACAATTTCCACTAACAGGTGTAGAGCAGCATCCGGTCTGACACCCATGGTACTACAGACACACTCAGTCTCATCTTTTCAATCAGGGTTTTGACGTGTTGCTGTAAGGCTACACCAATTTAATTTCTTCGTTCCCGGATTCGCCTCTTCATTTTTTTCTGATTTGCAAAAAAAAGAATTCTGGCTCTGAATCAACTCAAAAATGCTCATATTTTGCCCCCAACAGTTGAGAAAGTCCTTTTCTTCCTAGTTGATACAGTTTTTCCATCTATCAATGCAGTGGTTTGAATCAAAGTTCAAAATTCATTTACAACCCAGCCTTTTGTTTTGTGTTGACTTCATAGCTTTTAATAATAATTCTATTGTAGCATTTGGGGCTATAATAGGATGCCTAGACCTGTTTTTACTTTTTTTTCGCCCTGTCATGCTTTGACTAAAAAAATCCGAGAACCTACAAATTAAATTGGTGTGGCCTAACGAGCAACTTGTCCTTGATAGAAAATCATTAACAGTTTATGGATTTTCTGTCCCTTGAATGGATTTAGCAGTTTGACAGCCAGTTTAAAAGTCAGCAACATATTTTATCAATTGTCACAGTTACATGTGCATGTTTTAGATTAGATTAAATTTGGTCGGCCCAAGGGTTTGAGACTAAGCACATGTATGTACTTACTTGAAGAATTTTTGTGGTATACTAGTACTAGTATATTCAGACAAATGCCAGAGTTTACGTTAAATTTTTCTCAGATTGAAGTGTTTCAATCATGATGACGGTCATATAATACAATAATTTATAATTGATACAAGATTTCATCACATATTTTGCATGATCTGTGGTGAACTTTTTGATTTATTCTATATGTGACAACAGATGCCTTCCCCACATGTAGTATAGTAGGCTTGATTTTCTAGTCTAATTGTATCCAGTAGGGATTCTTACCTCCCCCTACAAGAAAACCAATAACAAGTTCTCTACTTCCCTACTGAAGGATTCAATTTGTTCCTAATGAGACCACAGGCTTCTGACCCATCCATAGCCTGGTATGCAGCCATGTTCAGCTTATTAGGCCCAGGGGAAAAATGTGGTGTTTCCTGTTTCCCGACGGACCCTAGAAAAAACTGCCGACCCTAGCCTTTTTTTGGTGAGGACCCCTGCAAGGGACACAAATTTGTCGATCTGATTGACCTTTTTTTTAGCACTCCACGACACATCTAAATATTTGTTGTACACTCAGTTTTCCAACATTCACATTGAAAAAATATGTGTCCTCGTGCAAGTTTACTTTATTAGGCTGTATTTTTTAAGTTGGATCATCAGAGATGACCAAGTCCTAAAAAAGAAAAAAAAAGATAACCCCAACCCCTACCGATCCTAATTTTTTTTTCAGGATTAAAAAAGGAAAAAAACATTATTTTACCTTAGCCCGAGGGCTAATTGCAAGTACAGAAGAAACATCTGGTATAACATAAGAACAGGCAATGAATACACAGAGAACTACTGTTAACTCTGATAAACTACTAGGTTTGACTTCTTTTTTGAAGACAGAGGAAGACAAAAGATCCCACTTTTTCTGTAATTTGTGGATTTTCAGATGAATATAGTTCCTTACTTCCTAACCATCCTCTGTTGTCAAACTGGGATAAAAGCTCAGAACATGGCTGGGTACCAGGCTACCTGATCCTGTTTCCTAAACAGGCTAAACCCAGCCTTCGCCTGAAGTCCTTGATGTGCAATCTTGGTCTAGGCGCCTGTGACCCCCAGCGGGGTGCTGGCCAGCAAACCAGACTTAGGGGGAAGGACTCTGACCTTGAAGCCTTGAATCTTTTCATCTCGTTGAAAGGACGATCTATCAAACTGCTGGAACTGTGTCTCTTTGAGGATAGGGTTCGGACAAGAGATAAATAAGCGCTGCGTTGGGATGTCTGCTTTCCCCATTTCGCCTTCATACAATCATACATTTTCTCAGTCTTACAATGATGATGCCTGAGTTAAAAAGGTTCAAATCTTTGAATGAAAAGCTCATCTGTGTTGGTAGAATCCATGATAGTTGTAAAGTTGACGAGGTTGACTGAAAATTTATGGTGAGTTCCTTTCTTGAGTTGGAACTTCACAACTACAAAAAAATGTAAGGTTCAAATCTGTTGAACTGCTATCATACAATAATTGATTTATGATACAAAATTTAATGTTAATACGATGTACCGCTGTAACAGTGTTGCTGAATTAGCAAAAAGATGCAATATCAACATCAATATCTGAAGATGCATGTAATATTATGTACATGTAAATCCTATACACTATACTTAGTCTACTAATTTAAAAGCTTAAAATACCCACATCTGTGTGTTTGCACATCTAGCTAGTTGTTGGAGTTTCCTGTTTTTACTTTACTCCCAAAGCCTGTAGATATTATTGCGTGTCTGGTAGAATTACCAGCACCAGTAGGTTTGGCCATCACGCAGTGTTTGACACAGCAGAGACTGCTGAGGCCTAGGAAAAAAATGTTGTGTTTCCTGTTTCAGTCCTGAAACAAATTAGTATCGGTAGGTAGATCTAGGGATTATCTTTTTTGTCTTTTTTTTTCAAATTGGCCATCTCTAGTGATCGACCCAACTTAATATACAATACAGTTTAACAAAGTAAAACTTGCATGAGGACACTAATAGTTTCAACATCAATGTTGGAAGACTGTACCACGTTTCATCACTCAGGTATCACATCTTGGAGCTAGAAAAGGTCAATCAGCTCGAAAAATTCATATCCGTTGCAGGGGTCCACCCAAAAAAAAAGGATAGGGTTGGCAGCTTTTTCTAGGGTCGGTCGGGAAACAGGAAACACAACATTTTGTTTCGTAGGCCTGAGGAGAGTGTGTTTGCCTGCGTCTGTCTGACCCCTGATGTGCAGCTCTTTCCTCCAGATTCTGAAAGCAATAAGATCTTTAATAAAGGACGTGCTATCTGATTTGGCCTGACAGGGCTTGTCCTTTTATTCTTTGTGTTGCCGGGACAGATCGTAAAGTACGTAGAGTGTCCTCGGGGAATGTTATACATCATAATGATATAATACATTTAGATAAAACTTTTCTGATAGTTTTTGCATGGTTGATACATACATCCTTCAAATGCTATCTTTTGCAATTTTGAAAAGGTATCAACATTTTTGTGCTGTAAGTTCAAACGTGTCCATTTTATATGTACTGTGTACTTTTGTTGGTAAATTTATACAACGAATGCTGTTTGCATTGAACAGATGGTCTTGTGTGCTGTTTCTGTTCTTTGTTTTCTAGGAACACACCCCCGTTGGTCTTGCTTTTTGGTTTGTCCCGTAACTGCAGGATACTTGAAGGCAAACAGAGTTGAAGGAAAGCGAGGCCTCCCTTGTAGGCTGACTCGGAATGTCCATACATGCCGAGAAATGCTAAACACACACGTCCCCACATTTGATGTTCATCATCGCAAACCGGCCATGTCTAACCCCTCCCTCCTGTCAATCCTGCTCTCCGCAGCGTACAAGCCCGTCTTCGCCGAGCCACGAGTGTCGCGAGCAGCGAGGGAAAGTCCGAGTGGCGGGTCGTCCTTCAGCGAACCAGGCTTCATGTACGGCGGCGGTCCCCCCCACCCCTCCCACAACATGGGGAGCAACTCTCACAGTAAGTTTGGTTAATGTAAGGTGCAACTTCTCGGTAACGTAATATGTCTCTCTAGCTATAAGTACAAATGTACATGTATGAAAGAACTGATTGATAATAATCTTTGATCTATGACAAGCTTTGACAGCATCTAGTTTTGTATGAAGCATCTAAAATGTATGACTGTCCAAAGATTGGACTCATAGTCATAGACCAGTATTGTATGATAAATATGTACATGACATAAGTGTACGTACAAATTGTTTCTGAACTTACCTGTACATGTATTCTGCCAGTGAGTGCTTGATAATCTATTAAAATTTAAATGGCAATTCTATGGAAATTTCTAAATGTATATCTGAATATTGTTTTACATTTGTACATGTATGCACGCACTCTCTGAATCTGTGCATTTGTATCATAGGTAAATGACTGTACTAACATTTGATACATTCACATGTACTGTATAGCTTAACAATTAGGGTATGCAGAAAGGTACATTGTTCTAAATTTCTAGATTTGGTACATGTACATACACTTGTTTTCCTCCATGACATTTGTATATAGATAAATGTCTGGTCAGACGGTAGATTGGGGAAGTTGAACTGGCACGTTTGCCAGTGGGGGGTAGTCAGTCTGTGAGGTGACATTTGGTCTTTGGCACATGTTTGCTACCTAGGGGCAGTCTGGCCTCCAACCTAGAGTTGTCTACTATAACAGTAGTCTGAGGTGACTGTTGTCTCTGCTTACCAAGTCACTCACTCGTGCTAAAAATAAACATACACACACAGACACACACACAAGTACTTTAGAATATGGCATAACTCATTGTTTTTTCATTTTCCAATGCGATTTCAGGGTAGCAAAACTGGAAATATTCTGAATAAGACAATATTTATGATATTGACACATACTGCTTCACTTTAGCACATTTAAATCAGTATTTCATACTAAAAAACATTTAAAACTGGGAAACAAGCCCCTAGATGAGTCCTTTATTTTCTCGGTGGTACCCTAAAAATAGCCCCGGGCCCTTTCAGTAACCATATTCTGTCAGTATTTTGGGAATTTTTGCTCCATGAGGGTCAATATACATGTACATTGGAACAGAGTAATATACTATTGTAGATAAATGACAAGAATAGGCTTTGAAAAATCAGGTTTCCAAGCCCTGAAAACTGCACTGGATGCCTTTAAGATCCTTCAATGGGTCATAGAGAGTTAGTTATTTTTGACATGACCATGATGTTTACATTTAAGTCTTCTGACCCCATAACTCACTTTGAGGGAGGCATTTCTCGTGACAGGTTTATGTGTTGTAAGTCCTATAGATCAGAGGTTCAAGATGGCAAAGTAGGTCATTGCTAAGCTGATGACTTCAATACCATTTTGTATTTTTGATCAAGGGATATGTGTGATCAATATAATATCCTTTGTGTGACTTGAAAAATTCTTCCATGGCAATAGAGATTTCTCTTGAACTGTAATTTACAAATATTGAATATTAGATTCATTGTAAAAATTTATGGCAAATTGACAAGTGAGGAAACAACTACTACAGTAGTAGTCATATACGTTACATACATGACGTAGTATAAGTAGTTGTATACTTTACATAGCTGCATACTTCTTTGTGTCATTGTCCCACTGACATCAATACACTGTGTTGATTGGTCCAGGAGAGATGCCCCGCTCCCCTCCCCTGGTACCGCCCACACCGCAGGCCAACGACGTCACCGTTCTTGGCGTGAACCAATGGCTGTACATCATCGTAGACTCCACGGTCAGCGAACACCAGCTGCACGCGCTGTTCGACCTCATTCCCGGGTTAGAGTTCGTGGACTTACAGAAGGACAGGTCCACGGGACAGTCCAGAGGTAGAGACAGTTTGATTGGTGAATTGATTGATTGAATTTTGATTGATTGATTGATTGATTATTTGATTGATTTGTCGGTGAAGGTTAAATCCACCGACCCCTATCCAGGTAATAATATATGCCAAAAAAACAGTTACTCAAGCAACTGGATATGGTTTTGGAAATGGTCAGACGTTTCAGGTAGCACCCACTATGTACAACATACGTTCATCACAATTTCTGCATTTCTGCACAAGTTGTCTAGTGTCACTGACGAAAGATAGTGGATGCTACCTGAAACGTCTGACCGTTTCCAAAATCATATCCAGCTGCTTGAATAACTGTTTTAAGGTGTATTTGATTGATTGATTGACCGACCAAAGTAAAAGTAAGTAAACGATGTCCTCTAAGTGTTCATTACATACATGTACATGTATTCTCTAAGACATTAAATGAACTTAATTTCCCTTACAGGATGTGCGTATGCACGGTATACGACAGCGGCCTCAGCTATCTACGCACGAGAGAAGTTAAACGGTTTCGAATATCCTCCGGGAATAAAACTCGTTGTGAAATATGCAGATTCTCCGCACTCCAATGGGGCGCCTGGGGTAGCAGGCCCAAGGTGGGTTTATACAATATTTTATTATATCATACCCAGGCAGTGATAACCTTCCATAATGGTGTTCCAGACCAGGCTTCCATGGCTTCCATAGAATAATTTGAACGTGTTTCGCCCTAACCGCATGTGCCGATTTCGAAAATTCAAATACAGTATTCGGACGTTGGAATTGATGATGTTGCATTTTTGTGGTTTAGGGACACCAAATTTTCGCTCATTTCTCATTGAAAGGCATGTTTTCTCGAGTGGGTACGGCATAAATGAAATGCAACATGATGTATTCCACATCACCCTCAGTCCCAGCCCTCCCGCAAGTCGAATCGCCCGGCGGCCAAACCTTGGGCGATACGGAATACCCCGTGTTATATTCTATATACAATGTACATGTAATCATATATGACCTCCTTGGCAAAGGTACCAAATACACAACACTGAGTGGTTGCTTTTCCCCCGATTCCCAGGACTGAAAGCTTTTCCAGACTTCTGTGGCATCAGCTTTCTTTCCCTCAGTGGTTGTAATTACATTTCTCTGGTTGATAATGAAAACTTTGGTACAATTTCAACGGGAAGGCTTGACTTGGTGTCCTCACCATGCCCTCTGTCTGGAAAAACTCCTTTGATTTTGACTCCAAGTTCCTCCTGGGTGCTTCAGTGGAAACCTCTATCTGTATGTAGAAGGGAAAATTCTGTGGCTGCCAAAAGTTGTTATTGAGGAGGCTAAACAGCAATATGTGAAACAAGATCACATTTCAGCACTCTGACACCTCTAGAGGCTGCTCAGTGCAGTCTGGTTTGAATGATAGTCTGTGACACCATGATTATACTGGGGTCTGGAGGAGGTTTTCTTGAAAACTTTATTTTTTTCTTCACTGTTGATATACGAGGGCCTGCATGGGGGTGGGGGGTCCCGACAACGCTCTACGCTAAATTTGAGAGCTGGCTACATATTACGCTGAATTCGGGAAGCCTCCCCACTTGTTTTACGATAGATTCCGGTAGTGTAGCTACAACACATTGCGTAGAATGAAAACGGCAAATTACGCTCTACACAAAATGTGCCAATTACGGTCTACGTTGAATTACAACAGTCCATCTATGCTCTACATAGAATAAAAATGGTCGATTACACTCAATGGAAAAGGGCATGTGGGCCTCCCATGTGTGAATGCTAAGTTAAACACGTTTTGTTTCATTTCCAGCCCCACACCAGCAGTGTTAGCGCCAGCCCCTCCCTCCCCCATCCTACAAGGTATGCCGATCAACCCACATCTTCCAGTACCAGGGTTCGCAGGCTTCAACAGGGTAAGGAACAACAGTCCATAGTCTGAGTAAAGAGACTCTTTTTACACAACCAAGACTTTAAGTGTTTTATTCACAGCTGACGTTTCGGTGACCGTCTGTCACCTTCCTCAGGGTAATTCTGACTGGTTTGCATTGCACTGCAGCACAGGTGTCGCTGCTATACATGTGTAGACGCCAACATACAATATTTACACATCTACACATACATGTATATGCGTGGTAACTGTATCTACAATGCAGTCCCAAACGTACATGTACAGGAGTTGGATATATACATGTACATCTCATAATACACTACAAAAACGTCATAGTTGCTGCCATGAAAATACTATCATATATCAAAAAAATGAACACAGTTTTCCTGAATGTGTTATGTTAAGTGTTCACAAGTTTTTCAGAACGAAAATTGATGCAATATAGAACTTTTGACTTGACGTAAATTCCTCGAAAAGCTCAGGAAAATGGGGGCAGTCACAAATGAGTTTAAAGAAATACTCCAAATATTCCAGTTCTTATTAGGAGATAATGCACTGTTTTGAAAACAGCCCAGAATCGTCTAAAAACAAAAAAGTAATCTTGGCCAGACATGTCTGTAACACCAGCTTTAAGTTCAAGAAATGCCCTGGGATTATCAAGGAATTTTGAATGAATGAAGTACAGGTGTACCTAAGGCCACACCAATTTAATTTCTTGGTTAACGGATTTTTCTAGAAAAATAATGGAGCAGGCAGGCGAAAAAAAATAAAAAAAATAAAAACAGGCCTAGGCATCCTATTATGGCCCAAAATGGTACGATAGGAGCCATGAAGTCAACACACCAGGCTGCTTCAAAATTTAAACAATGAATTTTGAACTTTTAATGATACCATTGCATTGAAAGATGGAATAACTGTAACAACTAGGATGAAAAGGACTGTTTTCAACTGTTCAGGGCAAAATATGAACATTTTGCAGTTGATTCTGAATTTTTATTTTATTTGCAAATCAGAAAAAAATGAAGCGGGCGAATCCGTTAACCATGAAATTAAATTGGTGTGGCCTAAGTAAGTTATGTCTTATGCTCGTTAACTTTTCTTCTAGGCTGTTAAATATGTCAATCTTTTTCATAATCGGTTGCATTAGTTAGTTGTATAATAAATTACTTAAAGTTTGTTTCTTCTATTAATAGAAACAAAGCCCTAAAAATTCTAGGTTCTGCCCATAAAATAAAATTCATTTGTTGACCTGTTCACACAGTGCAGTGTTACTCGTACATCTGCAAGAGATTTTCTGTGTTTGTTTAGGCTAGGTTCTTCTATCCATGACCAAATTCTGCCATGTTTAATCAATTCTACATAATCCGAGGTATTATTGTTATCAACATACAAACCTCTGTTGATACCGGAGACTCTTGTTTGCTTCTCTGTGTCAGTCTGTACAAAATACCTTTCATATTTTGTTTAATATCAAGATTACCATACATGCCGTTTGATTCGTTGTAGGTTTTAATGAACAAGCCTTTATTCCACCTGCTAACCATAGAAAATTATCATGAAAGTTCATCAGTGTTGGTAGTAATCATAGTAAAACATTGAACTTTATTCCAACATACAATTTACACAGAGATCAAATTTTATCACTGTGTTGGAATAAAATTCAACATTTTACTACCATGGAAAATCGGTGACCAAATAACTAATTCAGTGTGCTGTTAAGGTAAAAATAATGTACATTTTCAACATGTTACTCTTTTTTATGTGGAGAAGAAAGCTCACTAAGTTGCCCCCTCTTTGCCCGCAACTCTTTCTACTAGTATAGAGAAAGAAAAAGAGAAAGAAATAGAGTACATTGTACTACTGTTATACAAACAATTTGCAATATGTTGGATTGATATTATAAATCCAAATATAATTAATTCTGTCTGACCTTTAGATGCTATATGACCTTCAAACATACATTGTACTGTACCCAAACTGACTGATATCGCCCCCCTCCCCCAGCTCCAACAGTACACACCAGGCTACTGCACGGCACAGTTACCAGGTCCACAGCCATTGGCTGATCCCAGCTCAGATGTAGCGGAGAGACTCTTCATAGTGTGCACACCCACAGCACCTCCGGAATATGCACTAAAAGATGTCTTCAGGTAAGTGACTGTGTCTTTCTCTCAAGCTTCTTGCTTTCTTCTGTTTACTCCTAGAGTAGCCTGGTATTTTACCTGCCACTTATACTCCTTTGTCCTCTATCTATTTGCGAAGAGGATGAAAAGAGTCTCACACACACACACTCACTGTCCAGTTTATTGCCTGTTGTTCCCCATGTTCCGAGGGTTAGGTTTTAGTAACCAGGCTACTCCTAGAGAGTTCAAGGTCCTATACATTGTATATTAAGCTTTTCATAGATTCTGAAGAAGAACTTTATTGCATGACAATTGTAGCAGATACAATGTATGGCAACTTGCACAATCATACATTGTACATGGAAGTTGAACTGCCGGTATAGCTATTTTATCAATATTAAGTTAAATGTTATATATGAATGAATAACAGCCTATTTCAATATAAAATCATCTTGGCAAAAGTTAAAAGTATTATCATGTATAAAAAAAAGGCAAAAAAATCTTCACTTATTTGCATATCAATCAATAGTCGGTGCTTATAAATCTGCTTTTCTGACAATTCTTCAGTGTCACTGACGAAAGGTAGTGGATGCTACATAATTATATACATGTACATACATGTATACCTGAAACAACTGACCGTTTCGCCAAAAAGCAGTTACTCAAGCATTGCTTTGCCAACTGGATGTGATTTTGGAAACTTGGTTAGTGCTTATAAACCTGCATTTCCCCTCTGGTCTCTCAGTGACTGACGAAAACTAGTGGATACTAACTGAAATGTCTGACGTTTCCAAAATCATATCCAGTTGTTTGAGTAACTGCTTTTTGGTGTATCTTATTACCTGGATGTCTAAGCTTCATCGACGTAACTGACCGTTTCCTTTTCCGTGATTGCTTTCTGACCGACTAATTTGCTTTTGCTTCAGTCGATTCGGAAAGTTAATCGACGTGTACCTAATGAGGGACAAGAACTACGGGTACGCCAAGTACGCGCAGAAGGTCAACGCCGAGGCCGCCATCGAGTCCCTCCACGGCCAGGAAATCTGTGGTCAAAGGTTAAAGGTCATGCTGGCTGACCCTCCCAAGCAGGATCAGTCCAGGAAACGGCCTCGGACGAGCAGCTGATGGAAAACTGGTAAAAATAAAACCTTCAAATTCAAGTGCAATATCAACATGCTGGCCTTGAAGTAATGTTTTGTACAATGATGTAATTAAAGCTGCAATGGTACATTCTAGTAAATACGGGTGCCAAAGAATTCATACGAATTTTACGGAATTCATACGAATTTTACGGAATTCATACAAATTTTACGGAATTCATACAAATTTTACGAAATACATGTACATATGATCCATTATTACAAAAAAATAAGGATCGTATTTTTCTGAGTAATGGATCGTATGTACAGTACTGTATTCTGTAAAATGTGTATGTTTCTAGTAATGTATTGTATGTACATGTATTTCGCAAAATTCATATGTTTTCTTGTAATGGATGTATTTTGAGAATTCATATGAATTCTGTAAAATTCGTATGAATTTGGTAAAGTTTGTATGAATTCGGTAAAATTCGTATGAATTCGGTAAAATTCGTATGAATTCGGTATAATTTGTATAAATTTGGTAAACTTCGTAAGAATTCCGTAAAATTTGTATGGATTCTTTGGTACCCCATGTAAACTATCCTTGCAGTTTTTTAATGAAAAAATGTTCAGGATTATGGCTATGCAGAGCTTGTGCGACCAAAATCAGTATTTTACAACTTATAATAATTATATCTTGTGAAGTATTACAAACTGAAAAGGTCTTCCCATTCCTAAGTTGTCTGAAAGAGCTGTTTTATAAACGTATACAGTTCTGTTGCATTTCAAGTGCACAAATTTACCTGTACAGTTCTTACAACATGGGAAAAGTTAAGGTGCAGGTTACGTTTTTATTAAATAAGTATCTTCTTAAGACTGTAAAAGAAAACAGTTGTCATTTTGCACTTTTATTAACCTCAGAGAGGAAAACGTCAAATCGTGTATCAAACTCAGAAACCTCTAAGAGGAAACTAACAAAATATTGCCCCAAATGAGGGCATATAACGTACTGTGTATTTATCTTTCAAGAAAGAACAGAATGATGTGAAATAGCCTTTAATGTGTTATATTGTACCCAAGATGTGTCTTGTCAAGTTACATGTAGAGAATTTTCTATATTTATACTTTGCTAGCAGTTCTATACTACACAACATGTACATACTGTACATGTATAGCATGTTGCTGTACAACAAAAATCTGACATTTAAAGCACAAACATCATTTGCAATACAGACAAAGTCAGACCATGACAAAAAAAAACATTCCATACACTTTTTGTGAGTGAGTTGCACTCTAACAGTGTGAGAAATTGTACTCGAAAAGTTCGCACCATTTTCAAATGCATTATTCTGAAACACAACAAACAGTTTTTACTGCTGTAGCCTCATGATCAGTTTAGCTCTATTCTTTCCACTTCTGTATCTCTTTAGACAGTTTTCTACTCTTTCTTTAAATGCTAGTAACTGTTATCCAGCAAAAAATATCTTTAGATTTTTCACTTTGAGTTCAACAAAGTAGAAAAACTCTTAGGACCAAATAGTGATTGCTGTAGATGATACTCGACAAATTTCTATTCAATCTTTTGACTGAAATACTGGACAGACGTCTACCCTGTCATCTTAACTACACTGTTCTCGGATTTTAAATTCTTTACTTGAAAAACTTCGAGAAAGGCGAACAAACAAGCTTAAAATGAAGAAAACATGATAACACGACAACATTCTTTGAAATCAGCTGGCAACTCTTTTAAATACTCCTTCTGTTTGGTCTTTTTGAATCACGGTTTTCTACGGTTTTGAAGATTGTTCAGAGAACAGTGTTCTTAAGTTGGTTGGTCTTTACGGTTATGGTACTCCCTTGAAAGGAACTTGTTTAAAGTTAAAACTTTCAATCCAACACAATAAATTTTTCTCACCAAGAGCTTTCGACCAGTCACTCTGGTCTTCCTCAGTAGACTGACCCAGTGAGGTTTGTCATGTAGCTTCTTTGAAGTGTGACGTCAACACTGGGTCAAAGGTATCTGGTAGACGATGTCTACTGAGGAAGACAAGAGTGACAGGTCGAAAGCTCTGGGTGAGAGAAATCTATTGTGTTGGATTTAAAGTTTTAACTTTAAACATGTAACTACCAACACAGATGAACTTTCATGATAGTGAAAGAAAGTTGTTGACATCTCCTTCCACCTGGCACTGTTTCAGCACTCCCCACCCACCCTCACAGGACGCGACGGAATAAACCGCCCAAACGACAGAATCGATGAATCCAGACAGAACTGACAGGCACTGATCAACCTGCACGTGAGACAGGCCCTCCAGGGTCCTGCACAAGACAGGCCCTTACAGATGACAGTCACAATCAGGCACCAAGAAAAGAGTCCCTGGACAGCAACATTTCAGACAACATTTAGCACAGGTCACTTTGAACATGGAAAGGCACAGAAAATTTGTAATCTCTAAAACCCTAACATTATGACCAAAAAAATCTTTTTTATGAAACTTCACTCTGCATCTAAAAATAAGGTTGAATGTTGGGCTTTCAGTCAGGTGTAAGTGAAATTTGGAAATGCCTTTCTAAGTGAAAAGTGACCCGTCTTATCTAGTGATTTGACCACATTTTCCTCTCAGTCTATTGTCCTATCCTGTCCACCCCTGCTTGTAAAGTTGGATCAGTCAAAATTTTGTTCCCATACCACAGCACTGTCTTGTTTAGGATTCTTCCACTTTTTAAACAGGGGTCCTGCCATGCAGTTTTGCCTAATTTTTGACAAGAGTATACTTCTCGCTTTGTATCACTATGACTCTAAGACTGTTGCTTTTATTAATGTGGAGACAATGTTATGATATTGTAGATATGTGTAAAGTACGTAGTATTGTTTCCTGCTTATGTTATGTATATAAAACTAGTGTTTAAGTAAGTTAAGTGTGACTCTTTGCCTCATGAGATACATTAACATGAGCCTCAAGACTGTTTTTCTTCCACTACATTCATGTGTAAAAGGGACAGGGACTTTGTTTTATCTGGCATTAGATTATGAAGATTTGACAAAAAGCAGTTACTCAAGCAACTGGATATGATTTTGGAAACGGTCAGACGTTTCAGGCAGCATCCACTACCTTTTGTCAGTGACACTAAGAGACCAGAGGAGAAATGCAGGTTTATAAGCTTGAACTATTGATTGATATGCAATATCTCCTTTGGTCTCTTAGTGTCAGTGACGAAAGGTATTGAATGCTACCTGAAACGTCTGACCGTTTCCAAAATCATATCCAGTTGCTTGAGTAACTGCTTTTTGGCATATCTTATTACCTACTATTTAGATGTCTAACCTTCAACGGATTATGAAGATTATTTTCGAAAACTTAAACCTCTTCAGTGTGCAGTATTAAGTTAAGAGTAATGATCAAAACTACAGAATATTCTGTGCCCCTATTCTGAACAGACTGTTGCCATTTAACATTATATAGTTGTCATAAATATTTTCATATGTTACTCATAAATCTTTTTATGTATTACATGACTGAACTACACACGTTTTGCGAAGACTAGGAGTAAAGACTTTGACAAATAAATTAAGATGGTATACTTTACACCAGATGATCAGGTGTATTTACAAAAGCCATTTTATAGTATAATTTTACGTTCCAGCAAGATTATGACTTATCTCTCCACTTCGTACCTGTAGATATCTTAACAAGAAACTCTGAAAAATTTGTAAAAATCAGTTAGGTCACAGCAAGTAAATTTTATGGATGACATCCTCCGCAGACTCCAAATCTAATGCGAGCGCGCGAAAAAAAACACGAGGCGAGCCGAAAAAACAAGGTTCCTACAATTTAAAATTTTGACTCAGTCATCGTACAAATGGTTTTGATTCAGTGGGAACATCACATACACCGCCAGCATCACATATCACTGCATCAAAGTAAGAAACAAAACATTAAATCAGAGCCTTTTCTTGTCTCCTCTCTTCATAGTTATCTGCAATCCACCTGCCGGCATGGCAACCTCGGTTGGGTTAAGGCGGCCTAGGCTGATATTCATGTTCGAGTTCGGACGTGTATCTGCACGATTGCCACATACATGTTTCGAACCCGAATCATGTTCCACCATGTTCGATATGACGTCATTCGAATAGAACGCGTGTTCGAATTCGGGGTTACCGGCGGTCATTTGTATGTTTTCCCTGTAAACCCGCGTTGTTACGCATTTTATTCTCGGAGTATGACTTAAACGGCTTTACGCCCAGCTGAAAACAACATAATTCATCTTTAGAGTAATCCATGTTTACGTATTANCTACTTTTTTTATCAAAATTATCCGAGGCTATTTTGCATATAAGTCGAAATTTTTTAACTGTGGCGATTTTTTAACGAAAAATGACAGAAAAATAGCTGTTTCTGTCGTTTTTGGCCCAAAAAAACAGTGTAACTGTCATTTAAAACAAAATAGCCTCGGACAAAAATAATAAATAGGGGGTTGGCTTTCTACTTGTAAAATATCATGATGAAAGGTGTTGTTACCGCTTGGGCGTAAAGCCATGAAGTAAACAGCTTTTTTTTAACCAAAATGTTGATTTTTAACCCAAAAATTCAGAAGTAGTAAAAACAAAATAACCTTTACTCAATGTGTTTCAAGTACTACTAGAACTGTGTGAAGTTAAGTTGTGGTGCGACCAAGCTATCAAAAGTTACAGCCATATGTATGAAATACTAATCATAGTTGGCCATAGGCTGCCTTAACCCAACCGAGACAGACATCTTTGCCCATTTTCGGCATATTGACCACTGTCAGAAGGCAACAAAATTTCTTGTTTTTCTTTCAAAATCAGGCGAAAATTAATGCGCGCGCTGATGTCATCCATAAAAATTACTTGTTGTGGCCTTAAACAGAATGCAGAATACACATTCTCCATGTGTAATCACCAAATGCGGAAAGAAGAGTAGTCTTAGTATGTGAAAAAAATTCTTTGACAAACATGTTTGAAATTTACTAAACATGTAGATTTTTAGCCACTCAATACATTTTTCAGAGCTTTTAGTCTGAAACTATAGGAAAAACTGATTTACATTCATACTATGTTTCTCCGAAAACATATTGCTCAGTTTATAAAAGCTAGGAATATACAAACTGAGTAACTTCAATGAAGTGTTTTGTTGTCTAAAATCAAATACATGTACTTTTATCATTAAGTTATATTGTCATTATTAAAAAGCTTAGCTTTTTTTCGTCAAAGCGCAACAATTTGCCTTGTGTATCAAACAATCAAGTTAGTATGTAGGAAAGACGAACAAAGATTATATTGATAAATTCTTCACTGTAAGTGAAAATGTTATGTATTTCATAGCTTGTTTCTTTTTTATCTAACATTATGAAGTTCTTTTTTTTTCTTTCTGCACTGAAAGTCTTGTTGTCAAGTTTCAATACCAAAAAAAAAGCTTCAGTGAGGTTACATTCTAACAAAAGGTGCCAAGAATGTGTAACACTGTTGACTGTTGTAAACTATTCTTTTAAGATAAGAAAATTTGTTCAGAGAAACTGTAGTCAAAGAAAGCTGTTGTGAAAAGTTTTGATAAATATTTTCGACACTTGTAATAACTTGCTGGTCAGACGAAAAAGAGATTAAAATTGTATTAACCTGCAAATTCGTCCGTGTTTACTTTTTGTGTGTTTACATAGATATAATGGAGGAATATTGATGAATATCCATTGCTTGTCTCACATTCGCGATTACATTATTTTCAGTACAAAAATTGTCCGAGTCCTTTCTGCAGTTAAAATGAAAATTGCTGGGTGGCGCTCTTGTATGGTCAACTTAATACATACGAAGTTCGCGCCTGGGGTCAGCATACAGAAATATGAGGACAAAATCGTACTTGTTCATTGTCTACATTCAGTTCAACACTTCTGTGATGGAATTAGAATACCCATCGCTCTACTATAAGTCAGGAACAGAAAAATTACCGTTATCAGTCAGTTGGTGGGTATTTCAGCACCAAGGACAGCACCTAGTAAGTGGGGGGGAAATCACTTCTAATAACAATCGCTAGGTGTCGCTCGTGCGTGGTCCACAGTTAGGAAGCGGCAAACTTCTCTTGTCTTAGCACGGACTATGAGAATGTAAATAATCGTGGATAATATCTGTGTTTACAGCTTTTAAACACACTCGTACGGTGTAATATTTTGGCACATCCACAACCGTTACGGCAGTTATTTGCAATGGTGTAGAGTTAATTCAACTTATTTTGTGAAGAAATGGCCAGTAATGCAGCTTTAAGTTGGCAACTCAGTCGTTACAGAGCGGATGATGATCTACCTCCTTGTAGGAAACATTCGAGGTAAGCTGTTGTCATGGTTGTGTAGCTTTTAAAAGCTTGACAGTTTAACGTACGCACCGCTAACTTTAGTGTAACTTTTGCAACATTTTCTAGGCTAAGTTTGTTTGTGTGCGTCATTCTGAAAGAATGTGGACAAGTCCAACTGTGATTAAGAGAAGGGATGTAAAAAGTACAGCACTTAAACTCGAAAGAATAGACTTACATGTGATTAGCAAATCCCTGTGCATTATTCTACATACTAGGTAAAATTAATATTTATAATCGGGAAGCCACTGTATTGTATAAATAAGACATTATTTTATCCGAAGACAGAAGATGTTATTTTATGTCTCCCCTCTTAGCGAGGATTTTCGGCCCGTCCTGGGGTGACCCCCTGCGGTGTAACGTTTCACCGCACCTGCACCTGACAGCACCTGCAAACTTTCCTGATGCCCGGCTGAGTGAAATTTAAACGATCTAAACCAACTTTTACCTAATTTCTTTCACGATTTGGTCGACTATGGACGCCAAGGTGGATCTTTTGTCCATTGCGGAAGAGGATGTGGAAAGGTTTCTGTTTTGTGCGGAGTCCCGTACCGACACGCCTCCCCCTAAACCTGCCGGCCTGCAGAACGCCAAGCGCCGAAGAACTCGCCGCCGAGGCCCGATCAGCAGCAAAGCGGGTCCCTGGAGAAGGAAGATGTTGAGGCAGGGAGTGAACGGGAAGATGACGGTTCGGGACGGCCTGAGCAGGATCAAAACTCTGGTCCCGTACGTGGCTGAGCAGCCTGCGGCATCCGTATCCGACATGTCAGAGGTAACGTTAACGTTAACGTTAGAATAAGCGCGGGATGACAGCTTCACAGAAATTAAACTGATCTAAAATATACCTCAAAAAGGCACTATTCAAACATTGAAAATCCTGATACTTAGGAAATCGTAGTGTGAGTAGTATTTTCAACAGTTGAGGTCGTGAAAAATATCGCCTTTCTCTACCGAAGTATGTTTTGGAAGCTGTCAAATGTCAACCATCTTAACGTTAACGTTACAATTATGCCAACGTTTTGTACTAAATACAAATGTGATGTTAAGAAATTCGTCACACGGTGTTATGTGATGCATGTTCTGACTCATTGAAAGTGTTTATTGTCTGATTAACTACAGAAGAATGCCGTATTCAGAGAGATAAATGTTCCAGCTTTGTCAAAATTACCGGCGAGTTTGTTGACCAAAGACCCTGCCATGTAGGCCATAATTAGATATGACGTAATGTTTGTGGGCGGAGTTTCCTGAACTTGAAACCCTTTATCCAATCAGAGGCTTCAATAAAGATAAAGGGGTGGAGCTTTATACCCGAAATACTCACCGAGGCCAGGCTAATGTAACCTAAGCCAATCACATAGCTCCAGTGCATGCCTTGTAAAGGGAAGTTTCAAATTGCTGGTAAACTCTTTTTTTTTCAGCTGGAAATCATCCACAGTGCGACTCGCTACATCACAGAACTGGAGGTGCAACTGATGAAGTTGAGAACAGGGAAGACGAGTGGAAGGCATGTCAAGAATACATCAGGATCCCCCTCCAAACATTTGGTAGACTCCTCTACCTCAACCACTGTAAGACACACTGCTTTTCTCCTCTAAAATTTCATTTTCTTACAAATCTGAGGTCATGATCTTCCATACATGTTTCTATCATTATCTGTTATCCTTTCATGTTATCTGTTTTGAAATATTGAAAATTATAAACAATATGACATATGGAAAATTCAAATAAACAAAAAAATAAGCACAACTGTTACAGCACATCATATTCTTACAAGTAGTTACTACTTTAAAATGAACAACTTTAACGATAGGTAAATTTTGTACTGTAATTTTCAGGTACATGAATCGCAGACACTTACAGTTGCAAGCCCAGTCCCAAGCCCCTTCAAGAAATCAGAGCAATGTCCCAAGGCAAGAATGGACATAGTTAAGAAAGAAGCAGTCAAGGTACACTTCGTGACATTAAGCTATGGGATACTGTCATTATTTTTTGAGAAATATAATTAGAAGTCTCTATAAACTTGAAAAGTTTGAGTCCTTTTTTTTAGATTTGCTCCTTCTGAATGAAAGTCAAACATAGAATTAGGATTCAAATAAGGATTCAGATACAAGATTATTTATAAAAATGATGACGATGTAATTAATCGCTTAACAAGACCAGTCTGTTCAGAACAATACAGGTTTTCCTGGCAAGAACTATTTCAACGTTCCTGACATGGAAGACTTCAAGTCTGGAGATGAGAGGCTGGTTAAGGAGGTACGACACCTGTCTTCATGTCAACAACATTTATGATACTAACATTATGTGCTAAGCTTCAATGACCATAATTTGTTGACCACTTGAATACATGCATGCCCTCACTGTGCCAGTCTCTAGAACTCACTCCACCGACAGAACTTTCATGCGCACTGCAGTACACATCTGGAACAGTCTCCCAGACAACGTGGTTGGCCTAACCACTCACAACAACCTCCAGTCACACTGGCATCCTCTTTCCACCATCAGGACTTCTACATGTAGCTAAAAAGAACCTTGCAGTTGCTGTAAACAAATGATTACCCAGGAGTGTTACTGTAATGTTACAACCCAGGCTATTGTAACTTTACATAAGCACATTATAGAAAAAAATGCTTTTATATACCCTGCTTGTACCTTTACCTTTATCAATAACTATAATCTTAACTATCCCATCAGGACTTGACCGTACTGATGTCGCTGGACAATGGGGTGGACAGCTGTTCGTCCAGTGACTCTGTGTCCTCCCCGCTGGCCGCAGGTGCTGAAGGTGTGGACTGTGGTCAGCTGCTCAGGGACACAGATGTACTCCTCTTCCCTGTGAGACACCTGATAGTCTGTCTTCTTTATGTAGGATGGAGTTGGGGGGTAGTTGCAAATTTTAGGTGTCTATCAATATCAATATTATCATAGTATGGTCAGGTCATTACCTCTACATGTATGTACCAATGTTTTGTTTTTGGTGTGTCTGTTGTGTTTACTTGTGTTTCCCTAGCCATTGCCACATAAGATGCATGTCAGGGACACTGACAGGAAGTTAGGTCAACGGTCCCAGAATGGGTTATCTTATTTCCTATCTTTAATTTCCTGCTAATAGTATATGCATGTCTGTTGCCATACATACCATGGAAGCCAGTGGGAATTGCATAGAATCAAAAAGAAATTCACAATTAGGCCACACCAAGTAAATTTTATGGATGACGTCCTTTGGAGACCATAAATCTAATGCGAGAGGGCAAAAAAAACAAGAAGGGCCCTAAAAAACAAGATGCCTAGATTAGAAATATACTAAGAGACGACAAATGTTAGGTGACACAGTGAAGTCTTTTATTCATCATCAAAACAGCAATAAATCAGGTGGAATAGCAGTTGTCGTCCTGTCTTGTTTTCGCGTTACAGGTTTCACGTCAATCTGACGATTGCGGCAGTGTCGTGACTCTTTGTCATAGTTACAGGAAGCGGAATTTCTTGTTTTTTTTCTAGGAACAGGCCAAAATCAATGCGCGCAAGGACGTCATCCATAAAATTTACTTGGTGTGGCCTTATAGATATGACAAGAAATTCACAAAAACCCACAGAGTGGTGTTTTCATAGCTTGTCATACATCATGATTTACTAATTGCTTTATTTGTAGATAAAAAAACTTTATTAACAGTAAAACTTCACATACGTTTGTACATGTAATAATTCTTTTCCCACACATAGGACACCTTCTTCACCCAGCTGAATGAACTGCTCCCTAAAGACCTGAACACCCCTAGCGATACGATGGAATCACCCACCGATACAACCTTTCCAGTTCAAGATGAGGAGAAAAGGATCATGGGTAATGTGAGCGACACACCTGCAACCAAGATGGAGTATGTGTTTGAAGACAGTCTGGAGATTGAAGAATTTCAGACGACAGGTCTTGAGGAGGACTAAGATATTTCAAGATTGGGCCTTGAAGAAGATGGCACATACAAAGGGTGTGCTGAATAAAAATTGGTCAGGTTATGCTTCCCATGGTCTAGCAGGTTTTGAGAGAAAGCAAGATGAAAGAAAAAAGTGACCCCGAATCATAGCTGTTATAAATGTTTTTGACATTACAAACAGTTGAGTGTGGAGTTTATATTGTTAAATTTATGAGGTTATCATTTTACATTCTGGTTGCCAAATTTGGTGATGTAAGAGGAACCTACATGTAACTTTTAAATCTTAATAGTGACAAATGCCTATAAAGGACATGCGTATCTTCCATGAATTTAACTCTTAAACCTATTTTTACAGCTGAACATCTTTCATGAGTAATACATGTATGATACTTTGTAATTGTATCTGTCAATTCAAGTTGAATTTTAAAGTTATGAAATGTTGCAGATTCAATGAAATACAACTTATGTTATGCTAATGAAATACAAATAATGTAAAGACATGAACTGTTCTTTGTAGATATCAATGGTTCTTCTAATGTTCCTGTGTACACTTTAGTACATCAGATGTCATTTTCACTTGAAATGTAATGTATTAAGCTACATACATCTTTTATACCAAAATTATTGTGAGAATGTACCTTTCATGATGTTGTACCTTCATATGAATTTCATATTGGCAAGAAGAAGATCTACATTTGATGATTTGGGCTTTTGAAAGTATTCCTTTCTGTGTGTGCACAAACAGTATTAGTTTAGCATTAACTATTCAAAGAAAACTATAATTATAACTTAGATCAGTTGGAATAGACAGAATCTAATGATTTGAAGGATATTCAGTACCAAGGACATGGACTGCACAGTTGGAAAGGTCAATGCAATACAAAAGTTACTGTAATTCACTATTTTTTCGCAGCACTTTTATGTTTGTGATCATTACTATGAGCAAACTAGAGGTCGGAGATCTCATGCCTTCGTCAGAGGGACATTGTTCCAGATAAAGGAACGTTTTTTATACTAGAAGTGATGTAAAAAAAAGATGTGATCAAAGGAAAGAATCAGAACGGGGAGATTTATTGCTGTTTTCGTTTGTTGTTACACTACCGGTATGTTCTTTTATTATTACCTCCATGAAAAATGGAGGTATTGTTTTTGGCATGTCTGTGTGTGTGTTTGTGTTTCCGCACATTTGTAGTCAGCATAACTTCATAATGCCTTTATGGATTATGATGATATTTGGTATGTTGGTAACTCTTAGGAAGACCAAGGTCAAATATGGGCCTCCTGGTGGATGACCTTGGTACTGCAGCAGAACTTCCGGTTTTTGTATCTTTTGTCCTGAACATGCTATGGTCTTGACTTTTTGGTGACAGATAGCTTTTAGATGACATTATAGCGCACACTTTAAATTTTCAATGAATCACATTCATTTCTCGACGTTTTCAGAATACTAGTATGAAAACACCGCACATTTGCTTTCCGAGGCACGACACACTTCAATACACTTCCAGCAGACCTAAGACATGTACCTACACTATCTCAGTTTGAAGCAGGCTTGAAACATGTCATATGAAACCTGACCTCTGACCTCCATTCCTTGATTTTCGTGCTTTTGACCTTGAATGGCCAGGACTTTGAGTATAGGACTACGACTCTGTTTTGACGAATCGGACTTCTATGTTTACTGTATGTTGTCTCACTGTATGTTACAATGTCTTGTGTAATTTTGCTGGGCCCCCTTGGAAAACAGCTGATACAAGCTGAATTGGGGCTACCCAGCCATCTTAAGATGAAATAAATAAATAAAAATGTCTCTGCAAAATTCAGTCTGCTGGTGGGTATTTCTCTGACCCTGGGACTCCTATTCGAAAATGCCTGCGTCTCAGACTTGTAATCTATTGTAAAACATGAAATGTATATTCAAGCAGACCTAATAAAATGTTTTAGGTATGTGACTGTACTTTATATCCGGTACGTAAACATTAAGGCTCAGTGCGTGTTGCAGCGCGAACAAGCGAACAGAAATCTGGTGTGATGGTGCGAACCATGGCACTGCTGTACTTCCTACTCCTGGTTTCCAATCAGCTACTGCTCGTGTCAGCACCAGCTTTACGGTGCCCTGACAGCTGTCGCACTAGCTACTCTGTAAATCTGTCGGAAGGGAAGCGACTCTCCTGTCGCTGTCCAGACAAAAACTGGCCAGGGTCCCCCTGCAGCTGGATTGGGTACAGAGGAACGTATCGCTTCCCTGCATGTCTCGACGCCATACCAACTGACTTCGACAAAGCCACGTCATCGATCTTCATCATGCACCTTCGTTCCTCAACCATTTCCGAGCGGTCTTTCCCAAACAGCCCAGAAGTACGGTTCCTTGTGATCCTACATTCCAACGTGTCCACGGTACAGCCAGGGGCTTTCCAAGGTCTGCCACTGCTGAAAAGCCTTTCCCTCCGCGACAACCGTATCTCCAGTCTTGGTATGTTGACAAAAATGTGTATTTTGGTTCCTGATATTTAATTTTGTGCTTTTTTATAATTATTTTATAAGGCCATGTTGATTTGATTATATGGATGACATCCTCTGGGAACCCCAAAACTGATGCGCGCGTGCGAATAAAAAAAAGTTTTAGCCAAAAAAAAAAGTTGCTTTCACTATGAAATCTACGTGGTCATGAAGGTTGAACAAATGGCACAGAATATGTTGTGGCGAATAATCTACTCTTCGAATTCATTTCTTTTACATTTTTGTCTTTTTTCCTTTGATTTTGGCATTCTACGACAATGGTATCGTTTCTAAATGTTTTCCTTGCAACTTATGGTATATTTTTGCTCATTTAGCAACTGTTTTGCACGATTTACAGTATGGTTGAAAACTTTTTTTTTTTTTGGAAACGGCCGAAAATTCATGCGCGCGCGAATGTCATCCATATAATCAAATCAACATGGCCTAAGTTATATGAATTGTAAATAACATCACTCTACAGTATTTCATGTTTAACTTGGAAATAGCAGAAAATTACGTGTAAAATGACTGATACAATAAACTGTTACGCCCCTCCCCCACTAGGATAAATTTGTACAGGATTGAGCCGAATAGACTAGCTTAAACTGAATCGATCTGCCACCTATCCAGCTCAGCTACAATCCACCTGGATAGGAGGGTCATACAAATGTGGGAATGTTCCCACTGAGGTAAAGTTGCCCAGATCGATTCAATCAGCTAATAATCTATTCAGATCGATCTGGTACAAATTTATGTGGTGTTAGTTGCCACCATCTTTGAGATTGTTTATTATACTTGTTTCAGTTCATAACAATACACTAATTTGAAATACATTGCGGCCACTAATGTACATTTAGTACAGTCAAGTTGCTGAATTATACATATTAGGCAGATACACAATGGAATAAATTATCATAAACAACTAGACAAGATTAGTACATACATGTAATAATTACTTAATGTTGATAATCAAGAAAAAATCTTTGCAAACTTAAAATAACTTACAGTATTCTGTTTTGTTTATCCTCAGAACCCGATACCTTCCTTGGGCTTGAGAGGGTAACAGACCTGAACCTTGAAAGGAACGCCATTTCCGTCATATCCCAGCATGCGTTCCGAGGCCTGCTTCTCCTGGCCAAGTTGAGGTTGAATGATAACCGCCTGCGTTCCATGCCCATCGACGCACTCCTGCCGCTTACGGTACTGAAGCATGCAAGCCTGCAAAGAAACCACATCACCACGATTGACAGCCAAGTCCTGCGTCTGAGCCACCTACAGCTTTTCCTAGCAAACAACCAGCTGAAATGTGACACAAATCTCACCTGGTTCATCTGTCATCTGCCAGAGTTGAATCACATCTTTGACCGTAACTTCCTGATGTGTGCATCGCCTACTGACCAGAGCGGAATTCTGCTTGCCACCGTGAGGAAGGACATCAGGTCGGGGGGATGTGATGAAATTTCCACCACAACAGGTCTGCATACCCACCACACTAGTCCGTATAACTACACCATTCCCACGGAGATGCTATACACAAACGCCACGCGAGGCTCAAAGTACAAGGCTACAACAAGCCAGGCTACAACCAGGACTGACATTGTCACTCTTCCAAGTTTTGGCCCAATCCTCACCGAGAAAGATGACAGTTACCACGTCAATGCCGTCATTGTGGCTGTTGCTGTGCCCCTCCTCATGGTGTTGGTATGGGTGATTGCCGTCTGCTTGTACGAACGCTGTCACAGCACAGATCCGGCTCGTCACAATGCCCCTGCTGAAACTGATGGAAACTCCACTCCTTCGGACAGAGACTCAGTCACAGGCAGACAACTGAGTTCTGTTGAGGACCAGACATCAGAAGGCAACAATGACATTGAGCCATACGCTGTGTCATACATGGATGTGTCGGGGAAAGGGAAAAACGGCAAGCTTGCACCGTACGCAACAACTTCCTTTGCTAACATCCAGCCAAAGGAACCAGACAATGATGACATCCAGCCAATAGAAGACAACGATGACATTGAGCCGTATGCTGTGTCATACATGGATGTGTCAGGGAAAGGGAAAAACGGCAAGCTTGCACCGTACGCAACAACTTCCTTTGCTAACATCCAGCCAAAGGAACCAGACATGGATGTGTCAGAGAAAGGGAAAAACGGTAAGCTTGCACCGTATGCAACGACCTTCATTGATGAAGACCCAGGGCCACAGCTTCAGCCGTATGCAGTGACCCATGAAGAAGACCCAGGGCCACAGCTTCAGCCATATTCAGTGACCCACGAAGAAGACCCAGAGCCACAGCTTCAGCCATATTCAGTGACCCACGAAGAAGACCCAGGGCCACAGCTTCAGCCATATTCTGTGACCCACGATGGAGACCCAGGGCTGCAACTGACAAGAAACATCACGCATCCAGTCACCCAACCAAGGGTTCAGTCACTGCCAAGAGGCTACATGAGGGCAGGTTATATGTCACTGACAAATGTCACTATAAACCAGCAGGCAACAAAGGTCGCAAAATCAAGGGGCCAGTCACTGCCAAGAGACCATACACTAGCAGGTTATACATCACTGACAAATGTCACCAACCAACGGACAGCAAACGTCACACATAAAGTCACACAACCAAGGGGCCAGCCTCTGCCAAAAGACCATGCACTAGCAGGTTATACATCACTGACAAATGTCACTAACAAACAGGCAACAAACATCACACAACCAATCATCCAACCAGGGGGCCAGGCAAAAGAGGCCAACATCAAGCCAAACTACGAGAGAGGCTGTCTGTCAACAAGAGACAGCAGGGGTCCTTATGGACTGGACGAGGGGAAGGAGGTCCCAAGTGTCAGTGGGACGCTGTACAGGAGTGGCTCACAGCACACTGGTGCAGAGGACAGCACATCTCACATGTTGTACAACACAGCTCAAGTATGCATAGCTCATGGACAGCCTGAGGTCTCGCATAAGTTTTAATAACTTAAATCAAACAAACTATAAAATGGATGTACCATCAGATGCAACGGACCCCACAAGCATACCGCTTCCAAACTGCATCGCTTTGATCCAAGCTCTCAGCCCTTGATGAAAAAATGCCAAAGGAATTCTTTCTCCATCTTGCCTTTATCTAAAATGAGTCTCATAAAAGCAAGATGGAGAAATAATGAAATTATCCCTTTGGCATTTTTCATCAGTACATGTATGCCATGTATTCTCCTCAAGGACTGAGCGCTCAGATCAAAGAGATGCCAGTATGATTAATTTCTGAGCGTTTCTGGATGTTTCACTGGAAGTGCTAAATATTAAAAGCTTATTGGTAAGGCCACACCAATTTAATTTCTTGGTTAACGGATTCGCCGCTTCATTTTTTTCAGGTTCTCAAATAAAAATAAAAATTTGGAATCAACTGCAAAAGGCTCATATTTTGCCCTGAACAGTTGAAAACAGTCCTTTTCATCCTAGTTGTTACAGTTATTCCATCTTTCAATGCAATGGTATCATTAAAAGTTCAAAATTCACTGTTTAAATTTTGAACGAGCATGGTGTGTTGACTTTATGGCTCCTACGGTACCATTTTGGGCCATAATAGGATACCTAGGCCTGTTTTTATTTTTTTATTTTTTCGCCCGCCCGCTCCATTATTTTTCTAGAAAAATCCGTTAACCAAGAAATTAAATTGGTGTGGCCTAATCCAAAATTAATGCACTTTCAACAGACAGCTAATGATTCCACCAAAAAGTAGTTTTTAGATTTATCAGTTTTGGTGCATTTTTTTCCTATATGAAATAATATTTATTTAATGGTTCACGATACAAAAAGTATAAGTTGCACGCCCAAGGAATGTATTATGCAACAATATTCGTCATGTTGTTGTGTCTTGGACTTAGAAGAGCGACAATAAAAATGATGAGTATTGAAAAAATGTCTGTATATTAAGTAAAATGTACAAAAATATTGAACAACTGAGTTATATGAGATTCATGTTTCATCAACAACTAACAACTTATTACATTGTATTTATAGCTGGTAGCCAGGCGGGTTGGATTCGATTATGGTCTCCAAGGACAGGACTGTTAGAGTGTGGGACGATTTTCACCAAATTATGATCACATTGGAACAGTTTTGTTTTAGTGAAGCTGTACAAGTTCTACTGCACCCCTGTGTATCATGCATTCTAGATTTCTGCTTTTGGCTGAGATAAGGGGATTATGAATGCTTAACCCTTGTCCTGATGACATTTTTTACACATTATTTTCCAATAATTGCATGTCCTAAGGCCACACCAAGTAAATTTTATGGATGACGTCCTTTGGAGACCCTATATCTAATGCGAGAGGGCGAAAAAAAAAAAAGGGCCCTAAAAAACAAGATGCCTAGATTAGAAATATACTAAGAGACGACAAATGTTAGGACACAAATTGAATGAGGTGACATAGATTAACAAGCAAGAAGTCTTTTATTCATCATCAAAACAGCAATAAATCAGGTGGAACAGTAGTTGTCGTCCTGTCCTGTTTCTTTCATCACATTTTTGCAGGCCTGCAGAAACAAAGCATGTGCTCTTTACCCATTTCGCGTTACGGGTTTCACGTCAATCTAACGATATGCGGCACTGTCGTGACTCTTTGGTCATAGTTACAGGAAGCGGAATTTCTTGTTGTTTTTTTCTAGGAGCAGGCCAAAATCAATGCGCGTGAGGACGTCATCCATAAAATTTACTTGGTGTGGCCTAATCATGATCAGGTCACAGACCCTGCGGTGGCAAAGTTACTTCTACATTTGTTGCGTTTTGCTGCGGTGTGATGCTTTGCATGAAAAATACCCCCAAATCGTACATATGCAGGGCGCTATATGGAAGGTACTGTATGTGCAACCCATATATATATGGGCTCCGCAGGATTTTTAAAATGTACAAACAAACTACATGTATTACCTTAACCCTACACTGAAGTACATGTAGCCATTTGTTTACCTGCTTACTTGCTTAAGTACCAATTCTCTACTAGTTACACTAAACAACACTTAAGCAACACAGACACAATGACACTTATGCTGGCTTTAATTCAAAACAATCACATTGCATAAAACTCAGTGCTATCTTGCTTTCTTTACAAACTTTGCGATGAAGAAGCCGATAGTGTCTGTGTCAGAAGGATGAGAATTCTTTGTCCTGTTTCCTCCCCAAGGCTCGAACCTCTGTAGCATCTGAAGCTGGTCCTGAGTTAGGGATGTCCCAGGCAGGCCAGGCCCTCCTAGGTATGGGGTCTGTGGAAGGGGAAAAAAGGTTTACCAAACTTAGCACTGTACTGGGTACATGGTGAAGGTAGCATCAAATGGCTGAACAGTTAGGCTAGTGGATATGAGACCAAGGTTTGATCCCTGGCATCCTTGGCAAGACATCGTGTCCTTGGGAAAGGCGCTTAGAACGACTTTCCTCACTCCACCCAGGTGTAAATGGGTACCTAATTTTGGTTGGGGAGGTAAAAGGCAGAGGAAGGAGAATGAGTTGGGCTCTGCCTTCCAATACTGTGCCCTAGACATACTGGATTAACAACCCACTGCCCCTATGACCGGACCATGGGACTACTTTAATTTACTAGTACCCTTTTTTTTTACACTGGATAAGACAGTACATTTCTGGTCATACAACCAAATGGATTAACCTGGCAATGTTTTAAAAGCCCTTCTGATACCATTCTCAGGGCTAGGTGGTAGTGCAGTGGTAAGACCTGTTTAAATCTCGTTGGGAGAGACCTGCACACCACGTTACAACCGCTTTCACACCGGCGCGATGTTGCTAGCCTGGCGTTACTATATCGATATTTCCACGGCAGATGGTCTGATGAACTTCACTCCCTTGTACCCCCACTCAGAACATTCTCTGCAAGAACACGCTTAGCCACCTCAACAGCAGAAAATCACCCTTTCTTCCTCAATAGTCCATCAGTCAAGAGAAAATTTCATGCTGACAGTTTCTTCCCCAGAACCACTTCACTGTGGAACAAGCTTCCCCGTGAATGTTTCACCGCTAATTACAACCTCCAACGGTTTAAATCAAGGGTGAACAAATATCTGACCACGCAGTCATCACTGTAACCCAAAATGAGCCTTGTTTTGAGGTGAATTCTGAAGTAATTAAAAAAAAAAAAAGAAGGTAAGAATGCAGTCCCAAATGTCACTAAGCTTGTATCCTTTCTCATTACTGGAGTAGTTCTACATATATGAGGTGAATATTCAAGTATTCTGAGCTTTTTCCATTTGGCATTGCCTCCTATCAAAAGGACTCATGAAAAAAGAAACAAAAGGTTGTAGGAGTAAAATGCTCACTTGTGGTACTAGTTCCAGACAAGGGAAGGTGTTCAGCAGGTGTTCCACCTGCCCCTCATTCTCCTCCAGGGTCAGCGTACAGGTGCTGTACACCAGGGTTCCACCTGTCTGTAACAGCTGTACAGCCTGGGGGGGGGGGTCACATTAGTCTGGATATGTATGTACAGTAATATGTACATGTATCTACTTTCAGTGATAGTCTACGTATCAGAACATTGGCATGGGGGACAACTTTTATTTGCATTTGGAGAAGTGTTTTGATGTATTGGCAATCACTGGGTAGAAAGGCTTTACCTGATCACTGATTGGTATTTATTACAGATATATGTATTAGATGAAATACATGTGCATCAGCCCCACCTAGCAGCTATTTACAGCATTGCAGCCATTTAAGTAAAGTATTTTAGGGTAGATAGTACTATACTGCGGTAAATACCTATGGTTTTAAGTGATTGTTACCATCAACATACATAGCCGTTCTTTAACATAGTTGAATTTTTCTGTCAGAAACCAAAATGTATTGACTTTCATTGATAATTTGCCATCATCTCAAATCTAGAGGGCTCCTGCAGATAGCTAATCAAAGACTTAGTGATATCTAAGAAAATTAGCCTGGGTACCATCCGGATTTTTGCTACGCAACGCTTGCCTGGGTACCATCCGGATTTTCGCTACGCAATGCTCGAAAAAGCGTTGCGTAGCGAAAATCCGGATGGTACCCAGGCTATAAGAAAATATTACTTCTACTGTATTGACTTACTGCAGGAAACAGTCTTCTCTGGTAGGCAGGGTAGGATTTTAGGGTCTTGAGCTTCATCTTGTTCCCGAGGGCAGGTCTCTGTCCCAGGGCACTGCAGGGTGCATCCACTAGTACCCTGTGGAAGGTGTTTGGTGGGTAGGGTGGGGCACCCACTGAACTTTCTGGAAAATAAATGGTGACTAGAGTAAATTGTTGACATCTATCATCTTTGCCAATCATTTCAGGAAACAAAATCTCCTAACTATGACCTCTAGATATTTTCAACTATTCCCATACATCTAACAAACTATAATGTTCTGTACGAAATGTAGACTTTTCTTCCATCTTGTGTAGCTTACAATGTGAAATGGGCGTACTACAAAAGAACAATCCCATTGTCATAAGTGCCACCTACCAGCTTCGTCACAAAGTGCACTCTCCGATGCAGCTTTCCCTCCATCGAACATGTATGCCTGTATACATGTTAGTCCTAGTCTTCTTGCATTGGCAATGACTTTGTCAACTTTTCCTTGAGATTTATCAAATGCAATTACAGTTCCCTGCACAAATAACAAGAAAACAGAATCAGGCTCTCATTGATTAGAATACAGGAATGTGTTGGTTGCATAGTTTTAGTTGCCATTGTGGAAAAAATGAATGCTGTAATTTATCTTTATGTTCACAGTACCAAAATTTCACCGTTTGAGAAAAATGGAGGTGTTGACAGAACTATATGGTAATGAGGATGGGGTGAAAGACGCATTATTTGTTGACAGTAATGATAAATTTGCGGTACAGAAGTAACTGTGAAAACTGTGAACATAAAAGTACCACAAAAAATTAGGAAGTAACAGTAACATGATAATATAATAGGATACCTGATTTTTCATCAAGGTTGCTAGATGGGTGGTCTTTCCACCTGTAGGACAGAAAACATTCTTAGTGAATAAACATACAACAATTTACCCTCTCATCATTGCCCATTCCTCAGTTTGATCCATAAACACCTAAGGCCACACCAATTTAATTTCTTGGTTAACGGATTTTTCTAGAAAAATAATGGAGCGGGCGGGCGAAAAAAAATAAAAACAGGCCTAGGCATCCTATTATGGCCCAAAATGGTACGATAGGAGCCATGAAGTCAACACACCAGGCTGGTTCAAAATTTAAACAATGAATTTTGAACTTTTAATGATACCATTGCATTGAAAGATGGAATAACTGTAACAACTAGGATGAAAAGGTCTGTTCAGGGCAAAATATGAGCATTTGCAGTTGATTCTGGATTTTTATTTTTACAATGTATTTGCAAATCAGAAAAAATGAAGCAGCGAATCCGTTAACCAAGAAATTAAATTGGTGTGGCCTAAGGGCAACTACCAGTGAGGAAAAGAAAATGTAATGTTTCGTCTAAAATGTCTGTTATTAGCACAACATTGGGGTCTATTAGGGATTTGAACCCAAAACCATTAGGTTTTAAATCAACACATAAGGCCACCTTGCCAGCCTAGATCACCTTACCATCCTGCAATATTCTTATAAAAACTGTTGATCTCCTACCAACCTGGGGCAGCACACATGTCTAACCCCTGCCTACCTGGGACAGCACACATGTCTAACCCCTGCCTACCTGGGGCAGCACACATGTCTAACCCTGCCTACCTGGGGCAGCACACATGTCTAACCTGCTTACCTGGTGCAGCACACATGTCTAACCTGCCTACCTGGGGCAGCACACATGTCTAACCCCCTGCCTACCTGGGGCAGCACACATGTCTAACCTGCCTACCTGGGGCAGCACACATGTCTAACACCTGCTTACCTGGGGCAGCACACATGTCTAACACCTGCTTACCTGGGGCAGCACACATGTCTAACACCTGCTTACCTGGGGCAGCACACATGTCTTACCTGGTGCAGCACACATGTCTAACCTGCCTACCTGGGGCAGCACACATGTCTAACCTGCCTACCTGGGGCAACACACATGTCTAACCTGCTTACCTGGGGCAGCACACATGTCTAACCTGCTTACCTGGGGCAACACACGTCTAACCTGCTTACCTGGGACAGCACACATGTCTAACTTGCTTACCTGGGGCAGCACACACGTCTAACCTGCTTACCTGGGGCAGCACACATGTCTAACCTGCTTACCTGGGGCAACACACGTCTAACCCACACATGTCTAACCTGCTTACCTGGGGCAGCACACATGTCTAACCTGCTTACCTGGGGCAGCACACATGTCTAACCTGCTTACCTGGGCAGCACACATGTCTAACCTGCTTACCTGGGGCAGCACACATGTCTAACCTGCTTACCTGGGGCAGCACACATGTCTAACCTGCTTACCTGGGGCAGCACACATGTCTAACCTGCTTACCTGGGGCAGCACACATGTCTAGCACCATCTCTCCAGGCTGTGGGTTCAGCACGTGACCTGCGACTGTCGACGGCAGGTTTTGTAGGAAGATTGAGTCTGACATGACATCATTGAGGGGAGGGCAGTCATAGAGAGGGGATGTCATCTCCACACCAATACCACTAAACACAGAAAATAAGTTAGTATGCAGAAATTATAATGGAAATAATAGATTAATCTTTAAGATACAATGAAACATTAGAGATTGTTGACAACTTAGATCAAAGGTTTGCCTTTGTCGTCCCTTCTATCATCCATATTCTAATATATCTGAGGTCTTGAGGTTTAACAATCTTTTAAAACTTAGTCCATACCAATGTGTGTCCAAAATTATCTCTTAATCCACTTTTATTTATGGCAAAATAATGCTAAGAAGGGCTGAATTAAACTAAAGATGTGCCCTTTATTGTTGCTTCAGCATAGTGAGCTTTCATGTACAGTACTTCCAATTGTTTCAAAAGTTTGTAAAGTGGCCAAATCACCTAAGTTCATTGAAAGATGGATTAATTGTCCGATATGAAAAAGGTCTGTGCAATAGTTTCTATGAAATATATGACTGACTAAGCTTTAACTTCCAACACTAACTACAAAGAATTGGGACTTACCCCAAATTTTCGGTTGACACCATCAACCTTGTTCATGGAATGGACCCGTCTACTCTTGGAATGTGACGTCAGAGACACGTGACCGTAGTAGCGGATCATACGTGAACAGGGTTGATGGAGTCAACCGAAAATTTAGGGTAAGTCCCAATTCTTTGTAGTTAGTGTTGGAAGTTAAAGCTTAGTCTTTATTTCATAATGACTTGTAACATCCGTGTCCATAATATCACCAGGGTCCATAATATCGCCACCTTGAGAAATAGTGTGTTTAAAGATATTTTTACTGCAACATACTTTTGGTATGCACTCCTGCACACCTCAAATGTACATACCTAGGGTACAAATGTATGTTGCAGTAAAAATATCTTTAAGCACACTTTTTCTCAAGGTGGCGATATTATGGACTATGGTGATATTATGGACACGGATGTTACCAACACACATGAACTTTCATGTTGTGCAATAGTAGTCGATCACCTGAGGTCCTCCTGTGAAACACTGAAGATGTCATCTCTGTTCATCCTGGCCACTCCGTTCCCCACGAACACCCTGGAACCCTGGTAGGGCTTCTGGTACCCTCGTAGGCACTTCCCCTCAACGTCCACATATACAGACACATGGTCACCTGCCTGCACATCTGAACACATATTAAAGGAGAAATCATACATGATACACATGTACTTAACATTACACGGAATGCTCTTTCAGCTGCTTTGAACATGTTTGAAACATTTGTGGATCTCTGGAGCAAAAGTAGTAAAGCTGTACATGACTTTATCAAACTGTAATTTGCTCTTCTTTTGCGATTTTCATTGCTATCTAAAAATCACTGAATCAAAAGGTTGATCTACTTCTGTATGCTATAGTTTGCACCCAACTACACACACACACACACACAAATAGGCAATATAAACAGTCACACACACGTATGCATGCACAAACACACACACAAATACATTGTACATGCCGGCATGCACTAACACACACACATACATACATACAGTACACATATGCACATACACATGGATGTGCACACAAACACATGCTATGCACACACATGCAAACACACACAGATACATGTAATACACACAATCATGTAGACACACCTGCTGTTGCTCCCAGGACACCAGGTGCAAAGATATGAGCCCCCCTCAGGACAGCTGCTCCACAGTGTACATCCACCATGATCTCTTTTGTATGATGCTGAAACACACAGGAAAACAGCACATCAGTAATGCTTTTAAAAGTACATTGTATATTGTAGCACACAGTTTAGAATTAGACTAAGAGTATCACGATATACACTAGTGTACATGTATGTAACGAAAGATACTAGCACACACGTGTAGTCAGCCACTGCTAAGGCATTTTCAGTTATGAATTTCGGGTTTTGGTTATACATTTGCAAGCAAACTATTCACAGTCAATAGACATTTTGTTTAAAAAAATGAATAGTAATATGCTTTATAATTTTATCATTTTTGTTTACTAGTAATTCAGAAATGATGTTTTATAGACCGTTCATACAGAATACTAGTACAAGTACATGTAACTGATAAGAATTTCTCAATAGCAATTGTCTAGTATCCAGTTGTCTGTTGCCATTTGTTGTTCCCTAAAGAAAATCTCAGGACACGAAATTGTCATCGCTACCTTTTCTCAAAGATCCCCATAAGACACGTCTTATACAAACACACCTTAAAGTTCAAGGCGTCTTTCTTCAAGACTTCAAAGGTTCTTTCATGTCCCAACCCAGAGTATTTCCAGATTTCTTTAGCCACTCTATTCCCATGCTCCAAGGGCACTTCACTCGGTTTATTTGGTCCAGAAACGTGTTTTGCTTGGCGGTGAAAACACGGCCTGTTCTTCTGCGTAGTCTAAACTCTCCCTTTTCAGCACCAGGAGTAGATGTGTTTGAAAGTTGAAGCGATCACTAACACATTGTTTCAGTGGGAAGATATCTGTTAGGGATGTTCTTAGTTTTGTTGGGCACAGGAGGCCTATTCTACATGGAACTTGCGACTGCACATCCGACTATAATGCTGTGCATCCAAGTTTTGGTGTTTACATTCATATTTTCAATTTGAGCTTTATACTTTCTGGTGCCAATTTGAGTCATGAAAAAAAATATGTTGCCACATTCTATTAAAGAAGCTTTATTAAAGAAATTTTTACCACCTCCTTACAAACCTAACGACTTGAAATATTCCAGTTTCGAGAGCATTCTCTCATGCTTGGGAAGGGTTTAAGAGGAGTGTAGATTTTGTGAAACCAATGCACAATCTTTCCACATCTTAAAAAAAAGGAATTCCTATAAACAAGATAACTCAGAGGCTCACAAGAAAGTTGACAGAAAAAATGTGGAAGAATACAATTTCTTGACTAGGAAAAAACATGAGATTGTACAAAACTTTCACACAAACATCCACCCTTCCAAGTCTGTCCCTTTATTAAAGACAGTCAATGCAATTTCAGGTTAGCAAAACTGGAAATACTAGACTAAGTACTCTGAACATGGCAATTTGTATGAAATGGACACATACTGCCCCACATTAACACATTTGCATCATTATTTCATGATCATACTTTGCTTGGCATTTAAAACAGTGCAGAAACAAGCCCCAAGATGAGTTTATTTTCAAAAATCAGCAGAGGATCCTACCACTACCAGTAACTGTTTTCCGTGACAATGTCGATATACATCTTCGGCATAGTGTGGTTTCAACTTAGTACTATGTTGATACTTCCCAAAAAAAAACGGTTGAGACAGTTCCTCCTCACTGTAGGACAATTGATATTTATTTTTGGGACAGTGCTGGGACAAGAGGAAGAGAAGGTAATTTCGAGGCCTGATTGGGCACCTTTAAATAATGACTTCTCCTTTTAGCCATCCCCAAAGACTGACCTCACCGCTGGTTCCCTGACCACTTGCTGAGCTCACATCTTGGCTCAGAACCGTCCGCAGCGCTGCCAAAAGATGATGTCATACTAACACCAGGCCAGGCCGACTTCCGATCTCCGAGGTTCCCAGGCTCGAGGGAAGCTCCCCCGGAGACTAACGTGTTTTCCGAGGCCAGAAGGCCCTGCCTCAATCAGCGAACTCAAGACTTTCATGTGCCTTAAGTATTCCCACATTCCCTGGTATTTGTCAGTCCTTTGGATTTGCGGGCCATAGGAGGAAAATTTCCGTCAGATCCTTGTTTTTCTTCATCTCAATCATGCTCGCACCGCAAGTTTTAACTGTGCGAAAGCTTCTTGAGCATTCTCAAGATTGCTGTACCTTATACATGTACATGTATTGGTAAAACATTCCATTTAAACATCAGAAGCTTCAGATGAAATGTACCTAGCAGATGAAATCTTTCTTTTATTGAAGTCAAAGATATTGTTGTAAACTAGCTTGGTTCATTATATTTATTTAGAGTCCATTCCAAGTCACCGCGTGGGTTTTTAATCATATATCTAATATTTTCTGATTATTTTGAAATGATCTTAATATATCATGAATATTCTGAAATTATGATAAAAAATGTAAGTACCTGAGTAGCGTGTTTTCGAAAATGTTGTCACAATTTGCAAAAATTTTGAAAGTAACATTACATTTTTTAAGAAGATATCCCTACCAATTGAAAGTTTTTGTCTACAAAGTTAAAACTACATGTACTGGCTTTTCACTTATTCTGGGAATGGCGGTGCGAATGAGCTGCTATGCTCGTTATCAGTCTCTAGTGGCCTGGGAAATTTACCCACCCATTACACAGTTTACCCAGACTTCTGCAAACTGCTAACTTTTGGAGATCATATCGCAGTTTTGGTGGTAAGGCTGGTAGAACCCTTTATTTACCACCTAGAGTAAATCTCAAAAGCATGGATTGTATGTGTGCAGGGCTCAAAATACTGGGTGCATGTGCACCCAAAATTGAAGCTGTGCACCCGATTTTTTTCTGTGGGTGCACAAATATTTCAGTAGGTATTTTTGTACATACACAATGTCATGTATATGTATAATAGTATACGGGATATTTGTGGCATCTAAGTGTCACAAAAATCATTGTTGTAGTACCTGTATGGGACTTTGAAGTTAGCTCCCATTTTAGATTCAAGCTCAGAAGAGGAGAAGTAAGATCTGTTATTACATTTTGTTTTATATGGTGCACCCAAAACTTTTCTGTGCACCTAATTTTTTAGATTGGCTGCACCAGTGCACCTTTTCCCAAAAATGAATTTCAAGCCCTGGTGTGGGATATATATTGTTGTATAGCATGCAAGCTGGCTTTGGTGCTGAATTTTAAAAGATAATTAGTTATTTACATGAAAGAAAAAGACAATGGTCTATTTGTGGTTACCCAGGATTGTATACTTTGGTCTGGAATTGCAGAGAGCAACTAGACAACCACCTGTCTCATGTGACTAAGAAACAAACACATATTCTAACCTTCTCCCAGCCTTTTTAGCACTAAATTTACATTGGTTATGGAGTTAGGAGAAGCAAGGAGAAGGTTAGATAGTTCTGTATTGTATTCAAAACCTGAAGTTGTATCTTTAAAACCATATAAATTAAACTTCAAGCTCTTACTGTCTGATGCATGCAAGGAAATGTACCTAACAGAAGTCAATTTGATTGAAAAACATTTCTCCTACAAATATCTGAAGAACTTGTGGTCCAGTATCACAACTTTCCTCTCAAATACAAGTAAAAGAAGCAGCATTGATAGGTTCATAATATAATCTCACCTTGGAAGAATGCAAAGCAGTGGAAGATGAAATTTCAAGACCTTTCCAAATGAAATGCCTTCCAGGCATTTCCCACACATGACATAACTACATTGGCTTGACAATGACTTTTCCACACTCCAAAATCACAACTTCTCCTGTTTTTGTCATGCTGACAACTTTAACTGGTCTTAACTTGTCAATGCCAAGATGAAAGAAAATGCAGAAGAAACAATCTTCAGTTAGAAGTGATAAAACTATAGATTCTACACATGGAAGAAGTGGTTGAGGGCAATGTATGTAACAGATATTTAAGCTACGTAGACAGATTTCTAAATAACTCTAAATTAGTAATATTACCCCAACATGTAGCAGAACATATCTTAAAAGATATGTTCTCATCTTTTAATTAGTCATCTCTTAATTAGTTCTATTTTAGGTTGTTCCTTTTTCTTAGTTCCTGTTTTAGATTATACTGTTTCCTATCAGATGTAGTTCCTCTTTTTCTATCATCATAAGGCCACACCAATTTAATTTCTTGGTTAACGGATTTTTCTAGAAAAATAATGGAGCGGGCGGGCGAAAAAAAATAAAAATAAAAACAGGCCTAGGCATCCTATTATGGCCCAAAATGGTACGATAGGAGCCATGAAGTCAACACACCAGGCTGTTTCAAAATTTAAACAATGAATTTGTAATTTTTAATAATACCATTGCATTGAAAGATGGACTAACTGTAACAACTAGGAAGAAAAGGACTGTTTTCAACTGTTCAGGACAAAATATGAGCATTTTACAGTTGATTCTGAATTTTTATTTTTATTTGCAAATCAGAAAAAAATGAAGCGGGCGAATCCGTTAACCAAGAAATTAAATTGGTGTGGCCTAAGACAAAGTTGAATAGGTTCTCATGATTGTTATGACTCATATATACTGATAACCAGTCAGGAAAGAGGGCCTGCAAGCCCTTTTTCGTAAAGCGTAATCAGGCCGTTTTAGACTTCGAAATTCGTAGGCAGCCTCCGCAAAAATCAACGTAATTCGTAATTGGACATTAGCCACAAATCGTAAAGTCGTAATCAGCTCTGAGACTTTAACGTAATTCGTAATAGGTGGCGAAAATTTTGCGTAATTCGTAATCACTAGCCCCCCTTGCAGGCCCTCAGGAAACTTATGGCTTAGCGAAAATGCCATATCATCCTGGATGGAAAGGTTTTGTTGAGGAATAAAGTTTTTTTTTAGAAATAAGTTGTAGTATGGAGGCAATGAACGCTAATTCAAAAATGGCATTCTCTGTTGCTTTTGAAATATTTCCAAAAAAAAGTTGCTTTTGAAATATTCCAAAACCCCAAAACATCTGTGCAATTGACCAGGAAATTAAAAATTGGCACACAATTGTCACCCACATCCTATATGATGTGTCACTAAGGCCCGATTTAGACTAGAAACGGTATACCGTTTCGAAACGGTACGAAACGTTTCGCCACAGAAAACGGTTCGTCTTTAGACACAGAGGCGGAAGCGTTTCGGGCCGCCCGTGGCGCAGGATGTTTCTGACCCACAGTGACCTATGATGACCTCCCCAAACCGCTTCTACGGTTTGCCTCATTGGCCTTATGATACTTGTGTTTCAGGGCCTTGAACTTCGCCCGAACCTGCTTTGGGGTGCGTAAATACCCCTCAGCCACCAGCCCGTCCACAAGCATCTGTATGCCCTCCCTATTACGCAAGGTCTCCAAGCCGGATTGTATAGTTTGATCGGCCCACAAGCTGATCAAGCAGCGGATCTCTTCTTGGGTCCAGACCCTCCCCTGGCCTTCTGCCATCCCCCCAGACATAAAGGATGACGAAAATTCGAGAAATACATGATATAAAATGGCGAAAATGGACACAATCGAATATGGCGCGAATGTACCAGAAAATGGATGCGCGCGGGCTTATTAGCATGTGATTAGCATATGACACGTGACCTGGTTTACCGTTTCAAGAAACCCTTTGACTTTAGACCTAGCAAAAAGCGTTTCGGGCCCCCCGCTGAAGGGTTCTGAAACGGTCGAAAACCACGATGGAGGTGGTTTTCGGAAACGGTCCGCAAAAACCCATAACAAACCGTTTTTTCCTCTTTAGACCGGGAACGGTTAACTGTTCCAAAACGTTTCCCTGGCCAAAACCCCTTAAGCGTTTCTAGTCTAAATCTAGTCTAATTCTTGTCCCTTTTCCTTACGCCAATTCCACAAATACGCTAGCTGATTTTTTCCCAGTAATCCAGATGTCTTCCTTTTAACTTGTCCTTCAGTTTTACTTCCTTGTAATTATGTATCTCAGTTTCATATATATGCATATGACTCTGCAATATTTGAACAGTGCTGACTGTACACTAGCCACACATGATTATGGAGGGCCTGCAAGGGGGGTCCCGACAATGCTCTACGCTGAATTCGGAAACCTCTCGATTACGTTTTACGATAAATTCCAAGTGGCTACAACGCATTACGTAGAATTAAAACGGCGAATACGCTCTACGTAAAATACGAAGAGAGGTCCGTCTACGCTCTACATAGAATTGAAACGGCCGATTACCCTCTACGGGAAAGGGCTTGCGGCCCCATTATGCCCCGGGGGTTTTATTCCCAAGGGCACAACACTGGGGAATGTCAGGGATTCAAGGGGGCCCCCAAGCCCTTTTCCGTAGAGCGTAATCGGCCGTTTTAATTCTACGTAGAGCGTAGACGGACCCTCTAATTCAACGTAGAGCGTAATTGGCGCATTTGGCGTAGAGCGTAATTCGCCGTTTTAATTCTACGTAATGCGTTGTAGCTATCGGGAATTAACCGTAAAGCGTAATCGATTAATTGTGCGTAGAGCGTAATCCAAGCCGCAAACGGGAACTCGAGGCCTCGCAAGTTCCGGGTTGTCGCGGCGCTCTAGGTCTTTCTTGCTCTACCCCCTTCTATACAATCGAACAATCCACTAGACTTGTTCCCAGAGCGATACGCAAGAGCAAGGCAACACATGGGAATGATCCCACAGTGCGCTGGGTATGAGATTGACCTTACCATCGGTGACGTACACTAGGACCATTGGTCAAACGCCACAGATGGCCACAGATGAAGAGGATAGAAGGCCTTAGAACCACATGACTTGTAAGGCCCAAGGGCCCTCAAGACGTTTCTTAGCGGGAACATCATTGCTGATCAACGGCCAGGGTAATGGAGGGCACTCCCAAAAAGAGCAATGTCATCCCCGTCATTGTGCGGGTGATGGGTAACCGTCAGCAATCGGCAGCTGAGTCGTTTTGACAAATTACACTGTATTGTTTGCGGCCTTTTCTACCTTCGGACGACAACCCCACAAGGCTCAAAGGTTCACTTTTTGGTCCACTTTTTATCTAAAGGTCCAAAACTTCTTTAAAAGACGGACTGATTCGTGTCACCAGCAAGGCTGGAATCCGTCGTGAGGAAAACGGTTCACTTTGTCATTGAAAAAGTTAGCTCTGATTTTTTTTCTTTGAAACCCTCTAAAAACGCAGGAAATGCCATTTCAGAAGCTTCATTTTTCAAAATTTCCCGGAGGAGCATGCCCCCGGACCCCCCTAGGAACCTCGCGCCTTCGGCGCTCGCCTCGCGCCTACGGCGCTCGTTACTCCCCCCTTCAAAATCCTGGCTACGGCCATCTTGCCTCCATTCACGGATCGCCCTCCGATCTTCGGGCGATCGACTCGCGGTCAAGTTGGTACCTGCGGTAATACTGAATACCCCGTTTTGTATTCTATACTTTCAATGTATAAGGAAGTGACCGCCGGTTACTACTTTTAATTCAAGTTATGTCACCTCTACATATGATAAATCAAAAGGTTTTCACGCAAACATGCGGTTGCTTAGTAGTAGGTGATTGAGTTCTGCATAGTGCGTTCGGAATCTTTCGAATTTAGCGTAGAGCGTAGAGAGGCGTCCGGAATTCAGCGTAATACGTAGCCGGCTCTCAAAATTTAGCGTAGAGCGTTGTCGGGACCCCCCTTGGGGGCCCCCATTCAAACCCGGAACCTTTAGATTCTGAGTCAACAAGTTTAATAACACTAACCAGAAAACCACTTTGTCACCAAGGAAATTGACCTGGGCAACAAGTGATACCCTTCCCTATAGATGTACTAACAGAGAGTAGTACATGTAATATGTTATAGACCTTTTGAAACAAGTTTAAACTGCAATTTCCAACTCACGAAATTGGACTTACCCATTTTGGACTGCACAACTCTTTGTCAAGGAATGAGCAATCTACAACTTTCGCAACGTCACGCAGATAACACACGTGACTCCGTGAGCAGTGGATCATAGGTTGCAGAAAGTCTGTGGCGCCCCCCGCCTCTGTTGAGGGATGGTTGTAATGCCCTGATATGTAGATGGCCTCTTTAACCCCTCGTGCAAAAAAGTCTGATTCTATGTCCAAGATTCTTACTTTATTCTTACTTAATCAAAATTTGGGTGAGTCCAATTTCTTGTGCTGGAAATTTCAGTTCAAACTTGTTTCATAATGAGTTCTACCAACACAGACGAACTTCCAAGATATGTTATAGACCTGTAGATTGACGTGAGGTCCAGTTGTAGGGATGAGCAGGACATCAGGTAGCACAGGGTGATCCTCAACAGGTGGGCAGGGTACCGCTTTGTTACTGTACTCCTGAAGAACAGGTGAAAAAAAATGTAAGTGCAAACAAAATTTTGCACAGATACTTTAAGCTCATACTTTAAGTTTATTTTAAATTTTAGTTGAATGAGATAATGATTAAAGTCACTTAGAAGAATAGATTCTCTTTCTCTCACGCTCTCTCTCTCTCTCTCTCTCTCTCTCTCTCTCTCTCTCTCTCTCTCTCTAGAAGAATAGATTATCATATAGCCAATCATGAGCCCCCATTTGACATTAGTTCATACCATTACATTACATTACAGGGGGTGTGAGTATTTCTTTCTAAATTTTTAGCTTGCCTTTGTTTGCCAGAAACATGCTTCATGGCATGGTTGATTTTTATTTTTGTGTACATCTAACTTAGAATCAAAGCATGGTGTACCTACAAGCATTGATGAAGCTCTCAAATGTGTGCTCAACTACTGGTAAAAAAAGGGATTCTAGGAAAGAACCTAAAACAAGTCTTCACTTGGTACTGGTGATGCTACCTTCATTAGAAGTTGTTGCATTTGTTCCCTGATGTTGTCCCTTGTTCGGTTGACAGTGTTGGCTCTGACTGTGGTGTAGCCTGGGGGGAGTGACAGTCGGTCTATGGTGCTGTGAAATCTTCTCTCAGCTTCCTCCTGGCCTATAGCAGCCACAACCTGTAACGTTAACAGCAAAAGATGGTGTTTAAAGTTAAAACTTTTGATCCAACACAAAAAATTCTCTCACCTAGAGCTTTTGACCAGTCACTCTGGTCTTCCTCAGTAGACTGACCCAGTGAAGCTTGCCAAAAGTTTTAACTTTAAACATGCATGTAACTACCAACACAGATGAACTTTCATGTGAGCAAAAGATGGTGGTACAGTTAAGCATGTCGGCATGCAGAACGTACTGCGCCTGTGCAAACCCCCTCCCCTCATTTTTCACGGTTTTCGTTGGATCTTTGGTGAACGTTGCATCTGAGAATTTTGCCTGTTGCAGACAATATTAATAACATAATATTTGGGGACTACAGATGGGATGTTGACCTTACAGGCACGAGTATGCCCTTATATGAGACATTTTGCAGAAGTGCTATGCATAATACATTACGGACTTTGCAGGTGCAGTACGTACGTTCTGCTGATTTGCTGCACAGTTACATGTAACTGTGTGTCAATAAGACAATAATCATTTAGGGCATCAATAAAAATCATAGTTCTACTTTATGGAAAGCTTCCTATAATACGGACATCCTCATGTACATGTAACATTATATTATAATTTATATGACTGTGTAAAGGCCATGACTTTTGTTGTGCATACATGTAATTAGTAGCTGACCATATTTGCATGTATTAGTGAGATAGGTAGGTCCTGATTGGTTAGTTAGAGTAACCAATCAGTGAGAAGCTATTGTTAGCAGAGTTGTGCTTGGAAGAGGGTCTGCATGCCCTTTTTCGTTAACCGTTATGGGCTATTTTAATTTACCGTTAATCGTTGCCGGCCCGCTCTAATTTAACGTTAAGCGTTATCAGTATATTCCTCGTGAAGCGTTATTGGTCGTCTTAATTCAACGTAAAACGTTATTTGTCATCCTAAATTCAGCGTTAAGCGTTAATGAATAACTCTTCGTTACGCCTAATTTTGCCTTTCAAAGTGCAGGAAAATGCGTCATTGAAGGGTTCAAAATACAAAATTTCCCGGGGGAGAATGCCCCCGGACCCCCCCTACATTGCTCGCGCCTTTGGCGCTCGACTCGCGCTTCTGCGCTCGGTCCCTTCGGCTCTAGCCAGAACCAGCTTTCCTGTCAATTTCCGGAAGTTTGCGGAGAGTTACAGATTTTTTTTTAAAGAATCCGTCAACCTTGACAGGCAAATAAACAAAAATCTTGAGTAAAATATGAAAACATCAGAAGGACCGACAAACACTCTCAACACCATGATTTGCCTCTCAAAATGTGGGAAATTGCGTTTTTGAAGGCTTAAAAATCCTAAATTTCCCGGGGGAGCATTCCCCCGGACCCCCCTAGATTACGACGCTCCCCTCTCAAAATCCACTGGGCAGACTGAAAAAATGCAAGCTGGCTGACGTCGACTCGGACTCCCCTTTATTTGTGGACGCACTCGGGGACCAGGGCATGTGGGGAACACAGGGTACACATACCTTTAATGCGTGCTTCATTACATGTAAGATATACGTAATTTTGTCAGTGATCACCTTTTCTCACAAAGCGAGATACCAAATCCAGTGCAGCTCGAACGAAAAAAAGTCTGTCAATTTACCGTTAAGCGTTGCCGACCGTCCTGAATTTACCGTTAAGCGTTATCGGCCCTGCTGAATTCACCGTCAACCGTTGCCAGGACCCCCCCATGCAGACCCTCTTGGAAGTTTCGTGACCCAAGACTCAGGTACGTTTATTGAATTAGTAAAACTAATATTACCATATAGTTTGATATATATGGAACTGAAAGATGGGATCGTAGTAAAATATGAGATTGTACACACACATGCTGTTCATGCATAAATTATACCCACCTGACTATTACAATACGTCTGTTTGATGTAATTTTCCACGTCCGGGTCCAAAGCTAGACGTGGGAGGGGGGCGGGAGATGTCGGGAAAAAACTCATACTTGCGGAGTATCTCCAAGGTTTTGTTGATGTCTGAATCGATCTGTAGAATAACTTTGCGATTCCCAACACAGGCATTAAACGATCTTTAACATAATCTTTTTAGAAAACGCATAAAAACGTCAAATATCGTAAGGCCATGCGTGATATGCCGTAAGTAGGTAAGTAGCTTAAACGGGTCAAAGGTTAGAGGTTAAGTTTCATGCTTACTCGATGATTCGGCTATAATCGCAGTTTGTCAGTCGGTCGAGTAAAACGCCCAAAAATGATAGATTCGTCAAATGATACATATAAAGAAGTCATAAGCTGAATTACACAATTCAATCGCGACTAGAAGTGAATTGAATTTAAATGAATTGCAATATTTAATTTGGATACGTCGATGAATGTAAGAAGATACGCCGAAAACAGTTAATCAAGCAACACATATGATTTTGACCGTTTCCAAAACACCAAAATCATATCCAGTTGCTTGAGTAACTGTTTTTTTTTGCGTATTTGATTTGGATACTTTTTAAAGATACTGAATGGCACTGTCGGCAGAAGACAAGTTTTTCATCTCGCTCTCTTTCTCTCTCTCTCTCTCTCTCTCTCTCTCTCTCTCTCTCTCTCTCTCTCTCCGAGTCTCTCTCTTTCTATCTCTATCCCCTTCATTTCTTTCTTCCCTGTCATGTTTTAACAGCTCATTTGAAAAGACAGCCCTTCAATGAAATACGTTTTAGACATCTTAACTTCAAAATGACGGTACCAATAGTGCAAGAAATATGCTATAAAGAAGATGGTAAAATAAAAACTCGTGCGCGCCAAAAGAAACTGTACTCGCCTGTACATGTCACCTAAAAATGCACCAACGTTTCTATAATTTATTATTACCTTCGTCACTGATCCCTGTTCTTCTGTGCTGTCCCCCGGAATGAATTAGGCTATTGTAATAACTACAGCACCATAACAGATCGTGAAACTCAAAACTTTAACTAGCGTGTGCTCGGCTGTGATAAATCTGCCGTTAGGCCATGTTGATTTGATTATATGGATGACATCCTCTGGGAACCCCAAAACTGATGCGAGCGTGCAAATCAAAAAAAGTTTGGCAAAAAAATAGTTGTTTTCATTATGAAATCTACGTGGTTTTGAAGGTTGAACAAATGACACAGATTTGGCGAATAATCTAGTCTTCAACGTCATTTTTTTACATTTCCGTCTTTTTCGTTTGATTTTGGCATTCTACGACATTGGTATCGTTTTCCAATTTTTTTTTCAACCTACGGTATATATTTGCAACTGTTATGTACGATTTACAGTATGGTTGAAAACTTTTTTTTTTGGTAAGGCCATGTTGAGTTGATTATATGGATGACATCCTCCGGGAGCCCCAAAACTGATGCGCGCGTGCGAATAAAAAAAAAGTTTTGCAAAAAAAATTGTTTTCAT